TAATTGTTCTTTGGCCCTTGTTACCTTGTTGAATTACATCAGATTCTCTGATACAAGCAAAGTTGCAGACTGAAACATTCACACTCAGTCAACAATGCATTCTCAAGTGTCTAGTCAGTGCAGATTTTTCCCTGCTATATTGTAGGATGGTATTTCAGCCCTTTGGCATTTGCTGATCTTAAGATAACAGGTGAGTTAACACCTTTCTAAGATGTCAATGCAGAGACCTAACTGTAAGATTTGAACCACTCACACCAATATGGACCTTTACTCTTTTCAGTAAGTGTGGTAGGGTTTTTAATGCACTTGAGGTGTGACACTCCTCAAACATGGGACTTTTAGACTTATATCCCATCCTTATCTCTCCCTATTAGTAACTGAAGCTAGGTACACATTTCCACCCGAGTCTAGTGAGAAAATAGGTGTAAAGTGCCTTCCCCAAGGGTATAACTCTAAGGCCTGTCAGGGATTTGAACCCAGGACCTCCAGATTCCAAGTCAACAACCCCAGCCACAAGACAACCAACCTTAAAAAAACTTTTCACTAATAACATCTTGTTCTCATTCTGACTATGCCAACAGTCACAATGAACCAGTCCATCAGAGAAGAGAACATCTAGCAATACACTCTATGAACTTTCATGATAGCAGTCTTCTATTTTGTAACAGGCTCCTAAGCAGTGTAAGGAGTCGATGTCAGGGGTCGCAGCAGTGTAATGTGAAAGTACAAAATGCTTTTTTTGGTGACCCATGTGAAAGAATCAAAAGGAAATACCTGGAAGTAACGATCCACTGTAAAGGTGGGCACCTACATGTATTTCGACTTCTTATAGTAGCAATGTGTGTCTCAGGCTTTATTATGGGTTCACCACACCACGAAGTGGTGTGGTGAAACCATATTGCTTTTTCTGATGTTTCTTCTCCTTCTCCTCCTCCTTCTCCTCCTCCTGCCATATCTTTAAATGGATTCAGCTTCTTCATTTTAGGGCCTAAGGTCCTGAAATTTGGTATGGAGGTACAGTGGGCAAATACCCCTAGGCGTTTTTTAAATTATTGTGATACAGGCTTTTAGAATGGTTTTATTTGAGTTTTTTGGCTGTGTAATAGCTAATGTATTACTGTGTAAGTGTGCAGTGTTTACCACATTTGGACATGAGTCATCACAATGGCATGCAAGGCATCAACCAATAGGCATGCAGCTTTCCTCTATTCTCCTTGCTGATTGGCTGTTGGGATTTAACTGGCTTAACTTCATTTACACCTGCACAGAGCCATGCCATACTGACAGTATGTCTGTATTCAAGTGTTTTGGTAGGTATTTTAAGCTTTCCTGCTCCAGCATTGGAATGCGGGCTATGAACGCTTCTTTTTATCTTGAAAATCAACAGTTTGCATTATGCAATCCTAACCAATAATGTAGGGAATAGCTATCCAACTGTTGTAGTCTTAGTTGTATGTTACTTCATACTATAGTTATATCAATGTAAAGCATTGTTTTCCCTTGTGTTTCTCATTCTTTCCCTGCCATGTGGTAAAATGTGGTGAACCCATCGCTATATTTGCTCCAAAGCAAATATTGGCCTTTCTAGTTCAGTACAGGTCTTGCCAATTATCAGTGTCAGTTGTAGTACCTTTTACTGTCTTTTTAGTGGTAAATTGTCATCTTTCTAAGCTTCTATGAGGAATTGTAGTACATCCTCATCTTAAAATGATATTATGTTTTACTTGGAAGAAGCCAAAGAGAATGTCACTTTTGGTGGAAAAGGAGAAGTACCGGGCAAGTTTCAGCTTGTGGGAGGACTGGCCGTGTCCTCGACTAACGAGATATTTGTGGCTGATGGGGGAAACAAAAGAATCCAAGTCTTCAGCATGAAGGGAGTTTTTCTTCGCAGTTTCTCCACAGGAAACTTAAAACCACATACCATAGCCACAGGCGACAATGATACCCTGTGGGTCATTTTGAAGAAAGCAAGAACGAGAAATGACTTTGGTGGAAAAATTGTCCATCAGTACAGCAAAGAGGGCCACGTCCTTGGCAAGTTTACTTGCAGTGGCACTAGAATCGATGGGATTGCCTGGCACAAGCTTTCTGACAGGTTCATACTCAGTCTGACAAAAGCACGGGTTGCAGAGGCTGTGTGGTTTAGTCCTACTTACACACAGACACAGGTAATATCAACAGGTAACATAACCAGGTTTGGGTCCACAGGTTTGGGTCATAATTATTTTAAGTACGGACAATCTGTCGCTGTGGACAAGAAAGGAAACATCTTCATTGCAGACAGGGACCACAGTTGTGTTTTCAAGTATGACAGAAGTGGAGTCTACCTTTCCAGTTTTGGCAGTAAAGGTTGTGGAGCAGGGGAGCTTGACTTTCCCACCGGAATCTGTGTGGACAGTTTGGGGCGTGTGATTGTGGCTGATAGTTGGAACAGCCGTGTGGAGATGTTCACAGCTGAGGGAAAGTACATCCGCACTGTGGCTTACATGAAATTACCCAAGCATGTTGCTACTGGTGGGGAGGGACAGCTTGTGGTGTCAAATGTGAATCAAGATGTAACCATCTTGCTTAAATATTAGGGCCACAAATATCTATTTCTGTGTGCACCCAAAATTGGAGCTGTGTATCCATTTTTTTCTGTGGGTGCACTGCTATTTTTGTAGGCTTACAAAAGAAGTTATTTAAATGCATGGTGGTATATGGCATATTCTTAACATCTAAATGTCAGAAAAATAGAATCCCTGTTGTAGTACTTTTCTTTAGAAATTAAAACAGTTTTTTGCTTACATTCTTCTTTTTCTATTTTATATGGTGCACCCCAAAACATTTTGTGCACTCAATTTTTCAGGTTGGGTGCACCAGTGCACCTATTCCCAAAAATGAATTTCGAGCCCTGCATTTTGAAGTACAAATTCAGCAAAAGGACAAGATAAAAAGCTGAGGGTCTTTGAAATGTGTACACCATGGCACTGGGCATCCTCTTACGTCTGTTGTTTTGTGGAATTAAATGTCAGTTGACAGGGAACATTTATCTATTAGTAACATTGTAGACAAGAAAAAGAACAGTTCACCACAAAGAATGAGCCAAACGAAAAATTCTAAACATTATCACTTAAACTTATTTTAGTGTTAAGCAACCTAAAGTGTACAACCGGCATGTCACTTAAGTCTGAAAGAAAGGTAGTTTCATCTAAGGATTCGAAAATATTTGACAAAAATTTATCAGAATCTTCAGAAATTTTACGAACACATTTGTACTTAGTCAAAGCTCTTTTAGAGTCTTTGATATTCCCTAGTTTTCCAAACAAGTTGAACCTGGGAGGTTAAAAGGAGTAGCCGTATTAGTGAAAACTTTTGTATAATATAACTAGTAAATTTTATATCATGTTTCGGGAATGGGAGAGGACGAAACACTACTAAGGCCACACCAATTTAATTTCTTGGTTAACGGATTTTTCTAGAAAAATAATGCAGCGGGCGGGCAAAAAAAAAAAAAAAAAAACAGACCTAGGCATCCTATTATGGCCCAAAATGGTACGATAGGAGCCATGAAGTCAACACACCAGGCTGGTTCAAAATTTAAACAATGAATTTTGAACTTTTAATGATAATACTGCATTGAAAGATGGAATGACTGTAACAAGTAGTAAGAAAAGGACTGTTTTCAACTGTTCAGGGCAACATATGAGCATTTTGCAGTTGATTCTGAATTTTTATTTTTATTTGCAAATCAGAAAAAAATGAAGCGGCGAATCCGTTAACCAAGAAATTAAATTGGTGTGGCCTAAGAGCAAGTTATTTCTTCCAGTTTTCTCAAGCTTGTTTTTAGGCTAGCTTGGTTTTATATTATCTAAAATCAAGTCGAAGCTAGTCCAACTGTGCCCTCGTGTACGCCACGTTTTACTAATTATGCAAATCAACTTATCACGCCACGATGCTTAAGAAACTCGGTCATATTTCTGCAGTGTTACTTGGTTTTTCCACAAAAGTTTCCTCAAAAAATGTTCACAAGAATACAAGGAACAAAGTTACGTACCTCTCACCACCTAAATCCGACGTTTCTCGTCTTCTATGGACAAACTTTTAGCAGAAGTTTCTCCCACTCGATGTTCGGTCGCCATCTTGGAGCTCGTGCGTTTGCATGGCCCCATGGGTAGTCCCCACCTGTTGGTTCCCAACTAATACTTTGAATACAGTTAACGTAATTATCTTTGTGTAGAAGTGCAGATTTTGTCCCTTTTTTCAAGTTTGGAGCTTCCAAACAGAAACTGTGATCTGTATTAAAGCGGGAAGAACATCGATGTCAACACTCTCATGGAAGAGGAAAAGAAGGACGTTTGAAAAGTTAACTTTATACTATAGTATAACTTAGCCGAATAGTGCAGACAAAAGCATAGTCCCTGTCCTTGGTGCTGAACGCCATCCACACACAACCAAACATAGGAATTGCTGAACGCCATCCACAGATAGCCAAAATTCCTTTCCGTGGCGCTGAAACTAACCACAAATAGCCAAGAATACCTGTCCTTGGTGCTGAACACCTTCCATACAGAAGGGAAATCAGATATTCCTAAGTTTCCTATCTCGAACTAATCACTTGAACACATCCGTTGCACGTGTCAGTGGGGACCCCTGGCGGTCTTTGTGAGTTTTACAGCTGTTAGATGGGATTTTTTAAATTCTTCCTTTAAGTTCTTAGCTTAAGAACTTCCTTTAAGCTCTTAGCTTAGCTTCCTTTAAGTTCTCAGCTTAAGAAATTATTCCTTAAGCTAATAGGAGTGTTGTTGTACTTTTGATGTATGTTACCTTGATGCTGATTGAGTTATACCCTCAAGATGTACCTTAAGTTTGCTCAAATAAGCCTTAAATTTAGCAGTTATATTTTATATTAGAATTCTTGATGACTAAAACACCGAAAACACCCGAAATGACATTTAAAAATAGACTTCTTAAGTTCAACTGACATCCATAAATGACAGATACAACTTTATATGTAATAAACTAATTTTCCTTTAATATTTCTTACCTGTCTCCTTTATTGAGACTTATTAGTATGAACAACATTCAGTATAAAATAATATTTCATATGTTTAATCTAATTTCCTTAAAGATCATGTCACTATGAAACAGTTATTTGCAAGTCTCTGTAATTTAGAAATCTTGAACATTAAATTCCTTGATTGATGCTTATGTACAAGTATGTTACAATTGTTTATTTTGTAATGATAATCACAATTTTATGTGTTTCCGTGGTTGTATGTGCGTGTGTGTGTATGTGTAGGTTGAATAACATTATAGATTCTGTTGATATGGCTTTTGCAGTTTATAGATATTACAGCTAATCTTTGGTAAAGTGATTATTTCAGAATTTTTAAGGTTGACAAGGCTGGTTGGGAATTTTTCACTATCTTTGATATTAGATTATTTAAAGAGTTACAGAACATTTTTCCAGTCTTCTAGTTTTGGTAATGATCTTCTGCGCACTGCAACTTCATGTAATTCCTCAAACACGCTAGAATAATCAGAAACGCTATCTTCTGGTGGAGACTCTGATGAGGTTGCTATTTCTGGTGATGCGTTTTCTGGAATATTGACAATTGTGTCCTGTAAACTTCCTTTTGAGTGTTTGTTTGAATGTTTCTTTACTGGAGCAGAAGCTACTCTTCTCAAGCCATTACCGTTCACAAGTTGTTCACCTATAAAATCTGTAGACGATTGCAAACTAGTTAGTGAAGGTTCTTTGGTAAAGTCAATATCAACTTGGTTGGGCTCCACCTGTGCTGTAGTTGTAACGTTCCTGATCGAGTTGACAGTAGAGTAGGGCGAACACTCGACTAATGTTGGAAGCGTTTGTGTTGGCATGAGGGTTGCAGAAGCCCTCTGCCGCTTGGTTCGGGGAGGGGCAACCGGAGGTTGTTCTAGATCCTGAGTCGGCCCCCAGGTCAGGGTTGTTGGTGTATGTGGTGTGCTTGATGAAGAAGATCGCCTGCTTCTATCCGGCGACTGTTTCCCTCCCGAGTTCAAATCTGCCACACCGGAATCTCCAGACGACGACTCTTCAGCATTTTCCGAACTCTGAGACCCTCTAAGTTTCCGAACTAGAGACGATATAGAGAAGCCACTGCTTCTTCTTCTTTCATCCTTGCGTGTCTTGGGCGGGGTGCTGGGGACAGAGAGAGAGTTGGTGCCACCAGAACTGGAGTGCTGTCGTCGCCTGTCGTCCTTCTTGCTAGGGAACAACCGGCGAAGTAGCATGGACCCTTTCACGCGCTTCATGGTTGTCCGTGGGTCGTAACTACTTTGTCTCTGTAACATCAATAAACATTCTTCAATTAATGTATTGCTAAAAAAATAGGCACTTCATATACATGTATGTTGGAAGTTAATAAAATGGCATGTTTACCATGATTAGCCACCCGTAAGGCCACACAAATTTAATTGGTTGGTTCTCAGAAAAAATATGAAGTGACAGGGCAAAATATAGAAATCAGATAAATCAGGGCAAATCAGAAAAATGAAGAGGCAAATCCAAGAACCAACAGATTAAATTGGTGTGGCCTAAGTATCTGTTCAGAAGAAATTTATCTTAAATCATCCACCTAATCTCCCAAGTTAAGGATCATTTTTCTTACTGATATTGTCTTTGACAGGTTGCTCTTCCTGAAGCTGCCTCCCTTGCCATTCTTCTTATCAATGGCATCATTTATCTGTGGAAAAACAAAGAGGAAATCTTATGAAGATGCCGCTATCATGGATACCAAGACACCAATGATATGTACAGCAATAATAGTAATTTACTTTGTAAACGAGACGATCAACAAATGAGTATATTTCTGATCTTGAAACTATCACATTGCTATATCAAGATTACTCTTAACAGTTAGGTAAAGAAACGTACCGTTTTACTCCTTAAGCAGTGGAAAATGAAGATGAACAATCCCTGAAAAAGAATAGAAATGACAAATGAATCTTAATGTTACATTTACTTAGAACAATTGGCCCTATAACAATTGATACAAAATATATGACTGGTTTATTGATAACGACGTAAAACAGTTTTGCAGAACCCAGGGGTTCTGAATTGCACTGTTACTTACAATTACAACCCATTAAAAGCTTTAAAATCGAACAACATCTATTACAAACATATACACATATGATAAAATCTATTAGAGTTATAAATGTTAATAAGTTTACATTGCTGGATAAAATACATATTAAGATTACGAATTCGAGGTAAAACAGTGGTCATAAAGAAGGCTACTAAACAAAACGTGTTATTAAGGCATGACAGTTAATTACAAAAATGTACATCCAATACAAATCCTTGTACAAATGTAGTGTAATTTTGAAGTCCCATGGGTATCATTTGTGTCAAGTCAAGAATGAATCATTCACCAAAAAACTTACCTGAAGAGAGTTGACAACTGCAAATAGAAGACCAAAAGCGGCTGAAGTCTCTTCATTCATAGAGAACACGCCCAGCAGCCAGCTTAAGCCAAGCAGAGGCAGCATCACAAAAGAGGCCCGTATTCCAGCCCTGGATTGGAATGAAATGTCCAATATCCCTATGATTCATTCACATCTTGTTGGACAATTGTAAACGGACTTAAACTCATGTATGGCTTTTTTTTTTTACTTCATTTACTCCACAAAACAAGGCTCATGGGAGCCACTCAAATATTTTGGTTTTTACAGTGAGGACAGATGTTTGTTGACTTTAGACTTGAAAAGTTTAAGGTTATACCCATGTGGGAAACAATCACGTGGTAGCTTGTTCCATATAGTCATGTGATGTTGCTCTAGGAAAAATGGCTTCAAATGATAAGTTAAAACACAACTTTTTTGTGAATGATCATGAAAACTGCCTGCAATATCTATAGGCCTGTATATTACATGTAACTATATATTATGCATTCAAAGAATTTTATCACTACAATTGTCTATTCTATTCTTACTTTGTTCGTGTCCATTGTTCAGCATTCTGCAGTGCTCTGTTCCCCAGCATGGTTTTCAACACAATCACCATGATGACTAGATTCACCTGAAATAGGCAAAAACAAAAGATGAAAAGGACTGCAATATTATTGCAAGCCCACACACAAGATATCATACTCAGATGTACATGTAACTGTATTGTAGAACAACAACTTGAAAGTAGACATAGATATTTGTCAAACTGTCTCAGACTATGATCATTGCTTAAACAGGACTATAGGTAAAAAGATTTAGACTACATGTAACTAAAAGACTTTCTTATCACCCTAGCCAAACCAAATCCTGGTTGACAACCCTATACTTACTGCGATGATGAAGATTGCTGGTCCAATGAAAGACCACCTTACTCCATTGTCTACAACCAGCCAACAGCTGAAAGAGACACATGTTTTCTCATAAGTGATTGGTGGGGTATGATCATTTGCAGGGCACACATATTTTCTCATTGTTCAAATACAGAGATGTTAACTTTATTGCCAAACAGTGTAGATACATGCACAGGTTCTGTCCTTGGTGCTGAACGCCATCCACACACAACCAAACATGCTTATTCCTGATGGAATGTATCTTTACTATTTCACTATTGTTGTCAATGTATCTATGTTTTGTATATTTTCCTGTGTATCATGATGTGTGTATCATGTACATTGTATGCTAAGAGTGGATCCTAATAAACTCAAACTCAAAATCTCTACTCACTGTTCGTCCTCCCCATTGTTGTTTGACACTTGTCCATGACTGGTAGCCTCAGTAGTGGTGTTAGTCTCAGGCAGAGCCTGTGGGTTAGTGTCTGTGACCTGGTTACCATAACCTGCCGACTGGGTCACACCAATGGTGATGGCTACAATTACCAGGGGAGCACCTGCAAGACCACACCGTTTCATGAGTTACCGGGTAGTATCCATATTGTTGCACTTCATTTCTTTCATTTCTAAAAATGTAAGAGCAAAATCCAAGCATAACGTTATCTTGCTGAGAAGTGAAGCATGTAACATCTAGCTTCAGTGCACAGTGAACCAGTCACAGAATGTCACCGAAATGTCAGCTCATGTAAAATGATGGTTGTGAATAAAGGAGCTTTCCTACTCAATCATTTACCAACCTGATGAATTATCTATGGTTGCATTTTACAAGAAAGCTGCTAGGGGCATGAACTTTTACACAGAACAATGACATTTTGCCAACCACTTCAATCAAAATAAATCCTATGGAAGGGCATGGGCTGACTTCTTTGCCAATATAAAACATTTTCCAAGCCATTATATAAAGCCAGGGACACGTTTACTGTAGACATGGAAAAACAAGCCAAACAAGCATACTCAACCAGTAACAAAAGACATGGCCACATGTAACTGTAATACATATCAACAGGTACATGTATTTTGTATATTGTGATCTACAATGTACTACAACAGTTAGCTGAACACTTACCCCATCCCACAGCATAGTACGCCCGTCTGACAATCTTGTTGGACCTCCTGAAGACGTGTACGATGGACATGTACAGCTGGACCCCCTCACATAACATCCACGTCATGGCAGACAGGTAGAAGTAGTGAAGGAACACCGCAATCACAGTACACAGAACCTAGGAGAAAGTATGAAGCCTATGATTCACGGCAATCACAGTAAACAGAACAATAAAGGAGAAAGTAATACGAAGATGAGAAAGTATGAAGCCTATGATTCACACAGTGCTCCCTACTGCTTTTGACATCCTGAAGAAATACACAAAATACATACTGCAGTAAAAAGCTGTTCTAATACTCCTTCACCATAACTTGTAGGGGCTTAGCTTGAAGGTTCATCTGTGTTGCTATGGTGGAATTATAAAAGAAGGACTTTCAGCTGCTATTTCCACTACAAAGAATTGGACATGCTAAAAGTTTTCACTGTATACACATACTTCTAGCATTTGTCAAGTAATGAATTCACAGCTGGTATAAATTCACTGCAGAATTTACAGACACATGACTTGGAAAGCGGTGGATTTAATTCCCTAGTCTTCTAAAAGCTGCTAAAATGAAAGCAAACTTACTGTGATTCCAGGGTCGACAATCTCAGAGATGATGATTACTAAGTTGGCAGTAGCGAGAGAGAGGCACAAGTTGACATGAATGTGTGCACGCGCAGAATCCTTCTTCACAAACCTGCAAATGTAAAAAAGCAGTACCAACTGTTTGTTAACTGCCATCAAATATCTTTGGGCTTTCTTGGTGAATACTAGCAATGGTTTTAGGTGGAAATTTGTACATATATACAAAAACAAATCCAAAAATACACACACACAGACACACACACACAAAAACACACACACAAACACACACAGACACACACACAAACACACACACAAACACACACACACACACACACACACACACACACACACACACAAACACACACACACACACATACACACACAAAACAGTAGTTAAGAAACACATACCTCCATAAAGAGAGATGGGCTATTGCAGTTATCAGCAGAAAGATGAAAGAGATTCCACAACCAATGAACGTGATGTACTTCAGTGCTTTAGACACAAACGGGGAAGTCTGGAAAGTAAGACATACTTACTTTACCACATTGTATCATATCTAGTAGTTGTACTGCAAAGTATTACAGACTTTTTTTCATTTTGCATCTGTGCAAGACAAGCTACTAGTACTATGCATGAATATACCCTTAGCTAACTTCTTCCCTCAAAACTTGAATGAAAAGTGGCCTGCAGGCCAATTTGAACTTCTCATGAATAAAGAATTGTTATTTCACTCCATACTTAAGTATGGAGGGAAATACTGTTTTTACTGATGATTCTCCTCCTTCTTCTTCTTCTCCTCCTGCCATTTCTTTAAATTGATTCAATTCCTTCATTTTTGGGCCAAACGACCTGGAATTTCGTATAAAGGTAGAGTGGGTAAATACCCCTAGGCGTTTTTTTATTTTTTTGATACAAGCTTTTACAATCGTTTTATTTGCGTTTTTAGCTGTTCCCATAGGAAAGTACTGTGGGGCGTACGCGCGTGACGTAATAAGAAAGGAATTCGGGGGCGGGCCCAAATATGGGCATGCAAGCATGAACCTGACGCAGCCTAATCTTTTCTTCTTGCTGATTGGCTGTTGGATTTGATTGGATTAACTCAATTAACACCTGTTCAAAGCCATTCCATTTTGACAGTATGAACTCAAGTGTTTTGGTAGGTACAGCACAGGCCACGAAATACGCATCAATTTTCGAGGGACGTTCTGCGGGAGAGTGCAGGACGCTGTGCGGGACTTCCCTCGGGAGAGTGCGGGACGTCCTCCGGGAGAGTGCGATACGTTCTGCGGGAGAGTGCGGTACGTCCAGCGGGAGAGTGCGGTACGTTCTGCGGGAGCCAGACATTTTGCTCTTCTCTGTTGGAACAACGCAAGTTGGAGGTCAATGACCTGCGCCCGGCGTGTAAACAAGATTGGACAGGGAGCGGCTGTAATATCAAAGGAGCCGGCGGCTTCTGCTAGCCGGGTTGATAGTTAAGTAACATCAAGGTGGTTCAAAAGCAAACCTGATAAAGAAGGAAACCCCATAGTTAATAGTTGAAAGTCTTGGTGGCTTGAGGCGATCGATACCGCCATGCTGTTTACTTTATATGACATACAATGCAGTGAGTGATGTGTATCGCAACGAGTTAGCTCGGTTGGTAACGCGCCAGACGGCAATCCCAGAAATTGTGAGTTCGAACCCCAGTGCATCGGATATTAACATTTTAAACAATTTTATCATTTTTAACAATTTTATCAGTTTTAACAATTTTATCAGTTTTAACAATTTTAACAATCCTGCATTTTAACAATTTCAACATTTTTTTTTTGATTTTTCGTTGTTTTGCTTTTTAACATTCAAAAACTGATTGTTCTTACTCAAGAATGTCAATAACTTAGAATGTTAGTCTTTTGTATTTTTCCAACATACAAACCAAAATCACTTTGATGTTGTCACAAAAGTATGGAGCTGACAAGAGAGAATGAGTACAGTACTCTGCCAGTGTGAAGAATCTACAGAGGTATTACCAGTCACTAGTAGCAAGAGATAGACCACATTGAATGATGACGATGAGGACGAATCATATGGAGTACTATCATAGCTTAGTACAGAAATTCTACTGCTTTACTTTACTTTACTTTCTTTCACTCTGTACATGCAATTAGCTCACTGGCATGATTTTAAAAATAAAGGTTATGATAATCATATTATATGTATAGCTTATTCAATGTATGGCTTCATAGTTTATGTGATTGTTAATAAGGCCATGTTGATTTGATTGTATGGATGGCATCTGTGCGCGCATCGGTTTTCGTTAATTTAAAACTAAGTTTACGACATTCATACAAAACATCTGGAAACTAAGCAAACATACTCTGTAAATTGATTACTGTAATTCCCGATTTTTTTTCACTGTACCGCAACGTAACGCAAGCAGGAGGTCAATGTTCACGGTTTTCACTGTCACCTCTGTACCGTGAACTTATCTTTACAGTTAGGAAATAATTCCTGGACTTTCTTTTTCCTTGCAACTGTCACCACCGTGAATATATAGTTCCGTGAACATGTCCATGTTTCTCAGACCGTGAAAATTTTGCTACCGTTAGTAGTAGTTGCAATTTCGTCATTAGTAGTATTTAGATACCTGCAATATGTAACTTTGAAATTGAGATAAGTGTAAAGTAAAGCTGTCGAGATTTAAAGTGCTTGTCGTTGTATCTTTGTAAAAAAAAAGGGAGATAATGGCCAAGTGCCATTTTTGTAAATATCTGTCGAGATTCAAAAAGCTTGTCCTTGTATGATTGCAGTATGATTTATTCAGAATCTTCTATTTTTGTATGGGGAGGGAGATGGAGTGAAATATTACATTTGCTCCGAAGCAAATGTTGGCCTTTCTAGTTTAAACAATAAACTAGAAAGGTAACATTTGCAAAGCAAATGCAAAATGTTTACCTTCAGTCTGCTCTGTTAACTCTTACTCAAACACATTCATACATACATAAATGGTCAGACAGGAGTCTAAATCCCTCCTGCCATAAAATTGCAACATGATGTAACCAAACACTAGTTACCATGGTAACAGACAGTCTGGTTCAGGTCATTGACCTTTTTGGTTTGGAAAAGAAGAAGAAGAGGAAAAAGAGCACAACTAATATGTTTTCCTTTGGTAAACATAATAAATACCACAGCAGACCTTGTGGAAGGGGCTCATGAGAAGGGCAAAGTTGGTGAGATGATTGCAGAGACAGCGTGTGTGACTGTCGTTTGACATCGACACATCTATGGTGCATCCTCTGTCTGTCCATTGCCTATGGAAACAAAGCAAAGTGTCCTTTATGTCAATGTTGAAGTTGAAGTAGCTGCCAATCATTTATTTTATAAAAAATGTAATACTATACTATCAACCTGTCAGCAAAGAAGGTTAGGCTTGCCTACAGAGCTATCAATGGTAATGATATATAGTGTGCAATACGTACCTTGTTTCAAAGTCCCACCAAGTACAGGCGGTTTCATTGGGTGCATTCTGAAATGTGGAGAAACATTATTTTAGAACATCATTGGCCTCAACAAACTTAGATCCCAAGTAAAAGCTTCAACTGAGTAAGACCTCACATGGCAGTTACTGTTTCAAAGTTTGAAAATGTTAAAACACATACCGTAAGGTGCCAGTGTCCGATGGAGACATCCTGCTGGAAAGGTGTTTTGGGTTGAGGGTCCACTCCAGATGCAACGATTTGTGATTGTATCGTGAAGCTATGAACAAAGTAAAGTTTTTTAAAAAGTTCATTCCCTTTAACAAGATGAGACATTATAGCATCTGACAAAAGTGTTTTGAGAATACAGAGTTATCGCTTCTTTCTTATATTGAATTGCATGGGTGTATTCAATGGAAGGTTTACTATTTCAATAGTAAAAAGATAATCTTACCCGCTGTATTTTCCAGAAGATATTGGAGGTAGGCAGCTTTGCAGGTCATGATAGGCGATATAGTACACCGAGGATGCTTTCATTAAATGAAAAAAACAATAGATTTAGCAGTTATGGACAATATAATGCAAAATATAATAATTATATTGTCTTCATTAGCTCACCCATCTCACTTATGACTAAACAAGTCGTGAGTGAGATTTCCATTAAACATATCATTTGTGGTGGATATCTTGTCTTTTGCAGAATTTGCTGTCTCCCATCTCACCAGAATTACAAACTGTCTTCTCCGAGCTAATATTGTAAATCACGGTAGCAAAATTTTGCGGTCTAAGAAAAATGGACATGGTCGCTGAACTATATGTTTGCAGTGGCAGCAGTTGCAGAATGGAGAAAGTCTGTGAATTATTTGTTTGAAGTCATTGTTGTTACCTTGATTATGTTTATATGATATTTTGTGCCCTACTTGTATAATTATAGATTGTTGACTGTGTAATGTACATTCTTGTTGTTTTTGTATGTGGGAGGGCAACTAGCAAAGGTGCTTCGCACCTGTTTTGCCCTCCCTTTCACTTTGTGAAAAATTTAAATAAACAAATAAACAAATGATAAATTTATGGTACAAAAGTGACTGCAAAAACCATGAGTATCAAGTGATTTACAGTAGTCAGATTTACATGTATTCTGGTTAGAACTTTACCATGATATTTATGGCATCTGTCTCAACTGAACCATGGAGTTAAAATGAAGATAATCCATGACTGAACTGAATTGAACTGTCTCACCTGGGTCCCCGGCCTGCAGCACACTGACAGGAAGGTTGATGGGCGATGGTCTGATCCGGTTAACAAACTCTGACATCTCTCTGGGAAACTCCAGGTCTGCACTTAGTGACGAGACTAGGATTTTTCTAAACTCAATGTCTACAATGGAAAGTACAGGAGATTTGTCAGGGGTACATTGCATGTTTGATTGTAGATTGTTAAATGTCGTATGTAAATAATGTTGTAATTTTGATGTAGTGTATTTGTACTATTGTATTTTAACTCCAGGAAGATTAGCTACATACTTGATTTTGTACCAATGTCTTGTGTGTCGCTAATGGAGTTTAATAAAGCACATAAAGCACATAAAGATTTTGCTTGCTGATAATCATACAAGATACATGAACAAAAATGTATGTAATATTTGTCTTTACCTTTTCAATCATATAGTCTAAGTATGTACCAATAAGTCATAGCACTACTGTACAAAGTTTCTATGGTATCAAAATCAAATCTTATCAAAAGAAAGATACATTCACAAATTCTTGAACAAAATAATGCAGAGATGTAGTGTAATCTTGCCCATTTTTGCAATTATCAGGCTCCTTTACCTAGTATGTATCTGTAATAGCTTTGATTCACTGATCTAGATCTATTGGTAACATGTTTCCTGCTGTCTTACTTTATACTCTTATTTACTCGTAATAAAATCTTAAATATGCATTATTTGTACTGATGGTCACTGACAAGTTTATAACAAGACAATACAGTAACTTACGTATACGTATGGTGTGGATTTCTCTCTCAGTGGTAAAGGTAGAGTTTGGTGGCAGGTTCCGAGCCAGAGATCGAGCCAGTCTCTCAGCCTGCTCCATAACACACGAACACCCTCCACAACGGTCATGGGTGAACTGCAAATAATTAAGAATACAATGACATTTCTGAATATTAAATCTATTCTAGTGGGAACACTGTAATTCCTTATTTTTTCATGTTAGTTATGTCATGCATTTATGTTTACTGTTGTCAGTGTCTCTTCTGTACTGTGAACTTATCATTACTGTTATCTACCGGTAATGATTACCAGATCTTCCGCACATAACTTTAGATTACCAATACCTTAGTCCAATAGCAGAAAACGCTCATTCCTGTATCGTGCAGTCGTGCTCTGGAACGATCTACCATCTGACGTTAAGACACTGTGCGATGTTATCAGTTTTAAGAAAGCCGTTTCAAACAGTAGTAGTGTCACCTGATCCTTGACCCTTGCTCGCTACTTTTAAATTGTTAATATCTATGTGTATTTATTGTTGATGTGGTGTACATGTATGTATGTATGTATTTTTAAATGTTACTACTATGTTGTAATTATGTAATTTTAATTGTTTGAGCCTTGGAAGATTAGCCCTTCGGGGCTAAAAGGTTTCGAAATAAATGAAATAAATGAAATGAAATGATTTGTCTTTTCATTTGTCTCTGTAACCTGCCTACACTTCCCACCACAGTGAAGATTGAGTTCTGTGAACATTTTCCTTAGACTATACAATTTTGTTACCATGAAAACTGAGTGAAGTAGCATAATGTTGAAAACAGCACATTAGTAATTACCTGGCCAACAGATGCCCAGACTTCCCTATTGGGGGGTGCAATCATGTTGCTGAACACATTGACAACACTCTGTAAAGAAACAATATACAGACTATGAACCAGTGTTACATGTAGATATTCCTTACACAACAAGACAATTGTGACCATGGAACATACTTAGTACAATTATGTCAGACAATTATAACAAGAAAGTATTATGGAGTAAAATCTAACCAACATCTATCACACCAGTCATCCCTAGTGGTGTGATAGATGTCAGTTAGCTTGAGGAATGAATCCACTCTACTTTATATAAGAAAGTATTATTGAGTGACCACTAACCTGTGCATATCTTTTTAACTTGGAGTACGATGTTGTTGTGTCGTTGGCCATTTCGAACACGCGGATGAGAGACGACGTGATGTTTGTGTACAGCTGTAAGTCGTTGGCTGTAGGGATGTACCCACCTGAGGAGTTAGTGGCATCTTCCATTGCCTGTGCAAGTTGTCCTGCCATGTCCACATCATTAGGTGTTATGTGCTGCATGGTTTCTAACTTTGTCAGAGTAGTATTGGCCTAGATGGATACAGTGACACATACATATAAATGTACATGTACATCAGTGAAGGAGATGCCAATGTTGCACCTTTAATCTTTTTAATGGTATTGCTTAGGGCAAAGACAAATTAACCACAGTGTTAATACATGTAAACATGTAGGTATGACAGATATATGACTATGCAAGAAAATGGTGGTAGATGTTTGTTTTGAAACTTGTGTTCTGTATATGAGAGAGAAGCATGTATTTGGGAGGGTGGAGGAAGTTTGACAACTTTGCAGTCTAGGGGAAAGAAACTGTTACACAAGATGGTTACTATACAGTACTGTCATATGAAACGAAGAACACATATTAACAACTGATGATGATTTCAACTATCTCAAGTTCAGTTTCAACAATCAGAAAATAAACCAGTCATAATAGAGTAATTCAGTAACTGACACGTAAGGAGAAACAAGTGTGATATGTTAAATCAAATTAAGAATCCACAAACACCTTTTCCAACAGTTGAGCTGCTTGAGGGGACCGGCATTCAGTTGTGTCTGGAGTTTCCCACTGGCCATTGCCCCTACACTCCCTTACAATAAGGCCTGCCACAAAAGAAAGTAATGTTCAAGTAAGTTTGTGGCCATGGGGCATACTAGTATTTGCAGCATAATTAATGTATAGGATCATTACAATAAAAATCATTTTACAATTATTACAGTAACTTGAAAATTTGATAAAACTGAAAGGAGTATAAGCAGTCTGATTTATTTGCAAGGCTTGGTACATGTACATTGTATCTTGAATCTAACTGTACTGTAGACAGATAATAATTATGATGTAACATACCATAGCGACAGCTCCCAGTGAGTTGAATTCTCGCATTAGCCACTGTGCGAGGCCACTCTACATTCAACCTGTTGTCATTCTCACAGTAGAGTACTGCCGTCTGTGTAGCTAAAGAAAGAAGCAATGTTTAACTTATTTACTTATTCACAGATTTAAGAATAGCATGGCATTGCACATTTGCCAAGTATTTCTCAAATTTGCAGCTAGGTGCATCTATTTATTTAAGTTCAAGACAATGTTATATTATACAACTTTTATATTAGTTGCATGTTTGCTGACAAGATTTCCAAGCATATTAAAACCAATATATTGTATTTTTAAGGAAGATTCAATACAAAACAATGCAAACATATTACTTGTTGTGATGTCAGCATTAGATGGAGTTGTCACAATGGCCTCTGCTCCAGTCGTAGGTACTGTTGTTGTTGTTGGTTCACTGACAGAGTTTGTTGATTGTTTTTGTTGGGCGTCTGTTGTTGCCAGGAGAGTGGTAATGGCCGTCGACTGTTCAGTGGCACCTTCACTAGATGTTAACCAAGTTGTAGTATTTGATGTCGAAGTCGCTTCCTTTGCCATTGACATTGTTGAAAAGAAAGTTGGACGAAGGCTTGATGGCAGGGTAGATCCAAGAGTAGTAGAGGATTGCCGCTGAGATGAAGCTGTTGTAGAAGTAGCTGTTGATGGTTGCTCTGTTGGTTTTTGAGTGGCTGACATTGCAGTGGATCCCATAGATACAGTACGTTGTTGGGAAGACAACATTTTGGATGACAATGTCACAGATGCAGTACTAGTAGGCTGTACTTCAGGTGAAACAACAGATGCTGTGGATATTTTCGTGGACGTCTTCATAGTTATCTGACTTGTTGGTGGCTTTGTAGTTCTTGTGGAGGGTAAGCTTGACTGTGACGTTCTAAGAAATGTGGACCTTGCTGTTGACTGTTCGGTACTTCCTAAAGGCATAGTAACTGTGCTTTCCTCTACAGACTTTGTTAACAAAGATGAAGCTGTAACTGATATTGTGGAATATGGTGAAGACAAAGAGGGACCAGTTGAGGATAACAACTGTGATTTTGATTGGATTGTTGAGGACTTGACAGTACTTAAAGGCTCTTCTGTGAGCCTAAGAGTGGATGTTGGGGTCACAGGTGGTACTGAGGTAGATGAACTGATGGTCGAATGTGTTAGAGACCCCCGCAGTGTTGTAGAGGATTTCTTTGTCTTTTCTGACGACACAATGCTTGTTGTTGATTGTTCCATAGATTTTGTGTTTGAAGACAATGTTGTCGAATGTTCTGGTGCCTGAGAAAAAGTGACTGTTGGTGTTGATGAAACCCTTAGGAGGGTTGATATTTTATTAGTGCTTGGTCTGCTTGCTGTTGCCATTGTTGAAGTTTCTATAGATGATGAGGTTTCCTCTCTTATGGAGGAAGTAGAGGTCGGTGGTGTTACATTGGAAGAAGAGGAGGGGGCTCTTGATGTTGAAGCTGTTGATATTGTTGAGGCTATCTTCTGTGTGGTTGGGCGAATAGTTGAAGACTTTAAATTTCTTTCAGAGATTGAAGACATTTGCACAGATGTTTGTCTTAGATCTGAAGACGTAGTCTTTAAGACAGAAGCTGCTGCTATGGAAGAAGACATTATTGCAGTAGATTCTGCCATAGTAACAGACTTCATTGTTGGGTCCTTTGTAGATGTTCTTTGACTAGTGGTTTGCTCAGTAAATGTTTTCATTGGTGTTGCTGATGTCACTGCTACCTGCGAGTGTCCAGAAGATGTAGAGAAAGCAGAGGGTGATACTGAATATGGTACACTCGTCTTGAAGGATGTCTGACTAGTTCCTTGTGATGTTGAGGACTTAGAAGTGCTGCCAACTAGTTGTGGAGTTGACTTTTGTGTGGCTGAAATCCCTCTTGTTCTTGTGGACGTAGTACTTTGTTGCAAGGTTTTGGTCGATGATTGCATTGGCGATGTTGATTGTGTAATGGATGACAAGGAAGCTACAGAGGATGTCACATCAGCTGTGGAAGTCTCTGTAGTTGACTGGCCAGTTGAGGGTTTTGTACTTTGTGCAGAGGGTGAGATACGCTGAGATGTCGTAACAAATGAAGAGGAGGTCATCCATTTAGTTGTTGATGAAGATGAAGCAGAAACCGAGCTTGAAGGATGAGATGGTCCCTTTGAAGACAATGCGTCCTCTGATGTCATTGTTGTCGATGATCCAAAGGTTGGCTCTGAAGTGGGGCTGACAGATGTCACTGTTTTTACAAATGGCTCAGAGGTAGATGGAGTCAAGGTTGTTACTCCCAATGATGCCTGGGATGTTGGAGATGAAATCTCTGCTGTTGAATGTCTGTCTGGCTCTCCGCTTGTTTTCAGGACACTTGCTGTTTGCTCCTTAGACTGTGTGGTTGGAGTTCTGGGCACTGAGGGTGTCATCAAATGTTCTGTCGTTGGGGAAGAAGCATCTAACTGTCTTGTTGAGAGCATCCATGCTGACGACAATGTTCGGGCAGTTGGCAATGTTGTTGTTGACATTTTCTTGCTGGTTAGGTCTATTGGTGCTGTTGTGGTATATTTTGTGGATGCCAAAACTTTTGCAGAAGATGTTGCTATCATAGAAGAGGTCGGAGACACAGACTGTACTGACGATAAAGGAGTTGTTGATGCTGGTGACGTCTTTGTGGAAGACTGCGTCTGTGTGATTAAGCGAGTAGTCACTGTAGGCTCTGCTGCAGTACGTTCTGAGGGTGTTGAACTCACGAGTGGTTTTGAGGCAGACACCATCAAAGTTGTTGATCTAAGGGTCAGTCTTGGTGTTGTAGAGGATGTCTTTGTTGTTACATGTACAGTAGGCTCTGTCCTTGCTTCTGACAAAGTTATTGCTTGCTCTGTAGACTGTATGTTTGGAGATGAAGAGTGTGCTTGTGTTGTTGAAAAAGGACTGATAGTTTGCGTGGAAGATACCAGCTCTGCTGAAGAAGATCTCGGGGTAGCTGATGTTGCAGTAGACACTGTCTCTGTGGTTGGTCTACTTGAGATTGCTCTGGTGGTAGTTTCCATGGATTGTGAGCTTTTCAGTGAAGACAATGTTGTTGGTGATGGGGAGGTAAAGGACTTTACTGAAGACAACAAGGAGGCACCTGTTGATACAGAAGCTTTCGTCTTTGTGGAAAATAACATTGGTGAACTTGAGGGGCTAGTCCTATCTTGCATGAGGGCTGAGGTTGGTATTTTAGACGTCCCAGCTAATTCTGAGGATGATGTAATTATTAAGCGAGGAGTTACTGATATGGGAGAAGGCATCATAGTAGTAGGAACTTCTGATATTGTAGACATCATTGTTGAAGCTATTGCTGGTTTTGTGGATTCTGTGGTTTGTTTAGCAGACATTGTTTTGGTTGGAGATATAGTTGGTTGGCCTGTTGATAGCTTTGTAGTCTGTGCAGAGAATGAGATTGATCGCAACCTTGTGACAAAGAAGGAGGTTGTTGATTGTTCTGTTGGTGTCCATGTCGTTTTTAAAGGACCAGTGGTGGATAAAGCTATTACTGGAGATGTGGAATGCAATGGAGACGAAGAGACATCATTTGACGATGTTTTGTAAGCTGATGACACTGTTTGTACACCTGACTGGATTGTTGATGATTAATCAGTGAGGGTGCGCTCCATTGTGGTACTCATCTTAGAGGAAGTTGGGGTCACATGTGGTTCTGAGGTAGATGCAGTTAAAGTTGTCAGTCTTGGAGATGGGCTTTGTGATGTAGATGTTTCCTTCATTACAGTTTGTTTTGTAGACTGTGTGTTCACAGATGCAGAGGATACTGATGTTGTTGGATGTCCTGGCATTGTAGATGTGGATCCAGTGGTTTTAATCATAGTGACAGTTGAAGTTACAGGTGTCAATCTAGAACTTAAAGATCCTGTTGATCTTGCAAACGTTGTTCGGGAAAGTGGGGTAGATGTTGGAAATGAAGAAGAAAATATTGTAGTTAAGGATGGTTGTGCAGTTGAACTAGCTGTTGCATTTTTGGTAGTTTCCTGCAAGTTTGTAGTGAGTGTTGGTATGAGCGGTGTGGAGGACATATTTGTGGTTAATGGCTGGCTGGCCGCAGTGCTAGTGTTCGCTGATAGCTTGGTTGTTCTTACAGCTTTTGTAGTTTGATGCAAAGTTGATCGTAGGGCAGAAATTGATGACATCACAGATGATGTTTTAGATACTGTAGGAACTGTTGGCGAGGAAACAGTTGACAACATTGATGATTGCTCTGTGGTTGTTTCAGCTGACGACACAGTGGTATTTTTAAGAGTTGCTGCCTCTGAGCCTGTTACCAAAGGTGAAGAGGTCATGTGCCTTGTGGAAGAATATTGCTTCCTAGATGTTGACAATACATGGGTCTTGGATTGGGTTGTAGTTAGTAATGTTTGATTCACTGCTTCTGAAAATGAGGAGGTGCTTCTAGCTGCATGAGAGCTCAATGTTGGTGATACTGAAGAAGACAACAGTGGTTTGCTTGGAGTTGCCATTGTCGTTACTGTGGACAATGAAGTTTCCTCTGTTCTTGAAAACAATGAGGTGAATGGGGTTGACTGCACAGAAGATGAAGAGGGGACAACCGTCGATATTGAAGATGTCGTCTTCGCTGATGATGGCATCTGTGTTGATAGGGGAATAGACGATGTTATACCTACTTCTGAGGTTGTGGTTGATTTAACTGATGTCTGTCTTGGAACTGGAGAAGATCTGGTTCTAACTTCAGACGTTACTTCTGTGGAAGAGGCCACTTTTGCAGAAGTAATTTCCATGGCCGTGGAGTTCATAGTTGTCACAAGATTTGTCATCTGTTCAGTTGAACGTGCCTGTGTCAATGGTGTCTGAGTGTGTCTTGATGACAAAGAGAGAGTAGGTGGAGATGATGAATATGGTAGTTGTGTCATGGAAGATATCTGAGTGGTAGACTTTGGAGTTGATACCTCAGAAGTGTCTACTACATGCTGCCTGGTTACATTTTCTGTGCTTGATACGCCAGTCCTTGCAGTTGTAAGGTTTTGCGGCAATGTAGACTGCACTGTGGACGACAAAGGACTGATAGGTGATGTTGAATAGTCCATTTTTGCTGTGGACTTCTTTGCAGTTGTTTGGGTTGTTGCTGTTGTTTCAGTCTGCCCAGGGGATACAGTTGCAGTAGGAAATGAGGCCATTGTAGCATTGGTTGCAGGTGCCCTGGTACTTCTTACAGAGTCTGTGCTCGGTAATGAAGACACCGAAGATGAAGCAGTAACTGACAAGGTCTTATGTGATGGAGACGCTGAAGAACCAAATGGACTTGTTACCCCTGACGACGATGTCTGCACACTTGATTGGCTTGTTGATGACAAATCAGAATTCAGAGTTGTTTTCAATGGCTCTACTGTAGGAGTTATAGAGGATGTTACGGTAGAAAGGGGTTCTAAAGTAGATGTGACTAAAGTTGTCTGGGCTTGGAACAGAGTTGACATTGTAGGGGATTCCTTTGATGTAGAATATGATGTTGAATCCTTGCTTGTTGTGGTTGTTGCTTGCTCTGTAATCACTGTGCTTGGTGATGAGGGGAGAGAAAATTTTGTTGCAGAAGTCTTGGTGGTGGATTTGGCTCTTATTGACCCAGTGGTTTCTGGAAATGTTGCTGTTGCTACAGAAGGCATTGTTACGGGAGATGCAGTGGTGATGGGTGTTGTGAACTGTGGGGAAGTCAAGGTGGAGTCAGTTTTTGAAGAAGGATTTTGGGTGGTAAACTGGGTTGTAGTTTCTATGGTTGAACTAACCTCTGTTGAAAACAAGGATGTTGTTGTAGATGAGGAAGATGTAGAGTTTTGCATTGGTGATACTGAAGTTTCTGTTAATAATGTACTTGTGGATGGCTTGCTTGGACTTGTCCTTACAGTTCCTACAGAGGTTGAAGCTTTCTCTGAAGACACAATTGCTATAGGAGAAGAGGTCAATGGTCTTGAATGTACTGTGGTTGAAGAAGGAGAACTTGCAGATATTGAAGATGTTGTCTTTGCTGAGGTTGGGTAAACAGTTGAGCGAAATGTTGATGAATCAACATTTCCTTGAGAGGTTGAAGTTGTTCTCACAGATGTCTCTCTCAGAACTGAAGAAGATGTCGCATAATGATGAGTTGTTGATGTTGAAGAAGGCAGCACTGTGGAAGATACTGTAGGTGCCACAGACTGTGTAGCCTGTACAGGATCTGTAACCTGCCTTGTAGTAGTGGCTCTAGTTGAAGATGAAGAAGTCAATGATGTCAGGGGATTTTTCGAAGATGAAAATAAAGCAGATGACACTTGAGATGTTGAGGATGCCTCAGTGTCTGATTGTGATGTTGATGCAGACACTTGATGCACTGTTGATAAGTGTGAGGTTGACACTGTTGTTAGGGATTCAGAATTAGAAACAGGAATCGCTTGTGAAGTCTTGGCTGGCGTACTTGCATCAACTGGTGTAGTTTCAGGTCTTGTTGATAACTGTGACATTGACACAGTTGAGGAAGATTCAGAATTAGCAACAGGAACAGTTTGAGAAGGCGTACTTCTGTCGATGGGTGCCTCTTCAGTTGTATTCACAGGGGCCTTAGGTGTTGTTGATAACTGCGATGTCAGCACTTTTGTGGAGGATTCAGAACTCACAACTGGAGAAGTTTGTGAAGTCTTGGTTGGTGTAATTGTATTAGCAAACGTATCTCCAGTCATTGTTCCAATTGTCGATCCTTCTGTAGTTATTTCAGATGTAGATGGTGACTCCGAGGATGCTATAGATGTAGATTGCTCAGCTATAACTGATGTTGAATATCTAAAACAGAACTTGTCTGCAGTGACGATGATATTTCCTTTGTAGTTGATTTGGTTGCTGATTCATGAGTTGTATCTGTGGATACTGAGGTTTGCTTATTAGACACTGTAGGTACAATAAAGCTGCTATTTAGGAGCACAGGAGTTGCTGACATACTAGCATTCATAGTTGATTTGGTTGTTGATAAATTAGTTGTTTTCAAGCCAGTTGGAGTTTGGTTTGAAGATACTGATGTTGACAGCTGTCTTGTGGGATTTCCAGAAGAGGAAAAGGTGTGTGAGGATGAATGTGTCACCCCTGATGTTGACAATACTTGAGTTGTTGATTGGATTTTTGATGATACAGGTGCTGTAATAGTTGTGGAACTCAACCTTGGCTCTGTCGGTGTTTGAAATGAAGAAGTTGGCAACCTCATTAAAACACTTGTAGTTGGAGAGCTTGTTGTAGATGCTTTTGTGGTCTGCAGTGTTCTATCACTCGTGCTTAAGGGCAGAGTTTCTTCTGAATACAATGATGTTGAAGACTTGGAGATTTCTTTTGAAGACAGTGTTAACAATGATGAGGTTGTTGCTGTCATAAGAGATGATGAAGATGGTTTCAGAGATGATGATGCCTTAGACGTTGCAGTTTCTGCAGATGTCCTAAGGCTTCCATTGGTTGCAAATGCTGAGGACTCCTTCAATGTTGCTGTTGATGGTGAAATCATTTCCATTGTTGAAACTTTCTCAGTGGACAATGTTGAAGGTGACATTTTTGTCCTGGATACTGTCTGAGTCAGTGATGTTCCCCCTGTGCTTACATGGGTTTCTATTGGCTGTGAGGAGGTTACTTGGGTTACAGAAGCAGCTGATGTTGAAGTATACAAATGTGATGGAGAAACATCAGATAGTTTTGAAGTCAGCACATCTGCTAGAGTTGAATTCTGCCCAGTTGTTTCTGTGGGCTGCAAGGATGGCATAGACGATGGCTTGGTTGATGATTGAAGTGTTGTTTCGCTGGTACTGCCTGATAACAGAGTGGATGGTTCAGACAACATTGTGGGAAGTAAAGTAGTATCAGCTGACTCAGCTGTTGATGTTGGCAGGCCTTCTGATGATGCTTCTGACACAAGCTTTTGTGTAACTGTTGTTGATTTCACGGGGGATGACTGAGATGTGCTTGATGCAGTAGTCTTTGAAGATGTTGGTGTTAATGTTGGAGAGTACGTTTGCATGGTGGAAGACATGAAGGGGGTGGACTGAGTTGATAACAACAGGTTTGTTGTGGATGATTTTCCCATGGTTGATCTTGTTGTCAATATCTCTGTAGGTTGTTGTGTTGACATAGACAATGTTTGGGTTGATGAGTAAAGTGTCACACCTCCGGTATTAAGTGATGACTTTTCAGTAGATGATTCAGAAGATGTTGATGACAACCTCGTTGATGTGGGTGACTTTCCGGTGGCTGTCAACATCTCTGTTGATTTTGATATTGTTGTGGAGGTTTCTGATGAAGTTAATAATTCCTCTGGGGTTGTGCTTGATACAGAAGCATCAGGCAAATTTGATGTTGTCACTGTCTCAGTAGTTGGTTGTGATGTTGTTAGCTCAGTAGAACTCAGAAGAGATGAAAACGGTGTTGTTGTCAACTCCTCTGTAAAATCATGGTCTGTAGTAACTTCTGGGGATGCTGATTGTGTGAAAAATGAAGGATTTGTTGATGATGTTGTTGTAGGTTGTACTTTAGAAGTTGATGATGTTATAGGTTGCAGCGTAGCTCTCATCGTCGAGTAAAAGTTGGAAGCTGTAGAAGAGATCTTTGATGGACTTGTTGAAATTGCCGCAGAAGTTGATACTGATGAGACTGAAGTTGAAGCCTGTGGCTTTGGCTCAGTTTGTTTTGAAGAAGCCACATCCAATGTTGACATCACACTTGTTCTGATAGATGATAGCTTTGCTGAAAGAGTGGTCATTGCTGTTGATAACATTTCTTCTTTCAACGTAGTTGGTTCCAAAGTGTTTGTCGCTGATGGTTGAGATGCCACTTGTTCAGTGACATTCACTCCAGATGTAAAAACAGTACTTGTGAATGATGAATCTGGCTGCATTGTTGACTGGATTTCTGAATGGGTTGTTGATGCCTCATCATCCCACCAAGCTGTTGAATCTGTTTTCAGAGATGTGGAAGCTTTTAATAGTCGCAGGGGTACTGAAGTAGACAAGGAAGCAGATGCTGGGGGTGTTACTGTTGATTCAGTGGGATTTAGGGATGATGAACTAGTCTTTGACACTGAGCTAGTTGTTGACTTTGTTGGCGATGCTCTTAATGTTGCTGTTGACGCTGAAGACATTACATCTGCCATGGTCGTTGAAGGCACTTCTTCTGTAGTTGATTGTACTGTTGTTGGAATTTCTCTTAAAGATGTAGATGAAGCAGAGACTTCTGATGTAAGTTGAGACACTGTAGAAGTAGAAGCAGCTGCTGATGTTGAGGCTGGTAATGCTGAATCAGCTGAAGTTGAAAGAATAGTAGTCTTTGCAGAGGTTTTCACTGTTGATGCAACTATCTCTACAGGACTGGTTGTGACTAGGGTTGACGAAAGCGTTGAACTTGCAGCAGGTTTTGTTACAGTTGGCTTTGATGAAACTTCCTGGGATGATGGTGAGATAGTTGTTGTTGTGGAAGGGGCAGAAGATAATGCTGTCACATTTGTTTTCATCGGGTTTGTCGTTGGAAATGTTGTGGTCATTTCTTCTGTCAGAGATTGTGATTCTGTAGATGATCTCTGATATGTACGAGCTGTTGAAATCATAGACGTCATCATATGTCTTTCTGTTGAATATTGGGTTGTTCCCGAAGAAGTCCCTTGTGTTGTGGGTTGTCCTGTAGAGGTAGCAAACGTAGTGGTGTCAACAGTTGATGATGTTGGCTCTACTGATGTCAGTGAAGATGGTGCCTCTGTAACTGATTGGGTTGTTTGCACGTCAAAACCACCTGAAGATGTTGACACTCTTTTCAAAAAAGAAGTCGTTGGTACTGAAGAGCCTTCCGTTGGACTCCATTTTGCAGTTGAGTTCACCACTAGGTCAGTTATAAGGGATGATAAAGAGGAAGCCTTTGTAGAAGGTTTCTTAGTAGTCAATAGGCTTGTTGGTACCGGTGTTCTTTCTGATGTGGACTTTGCTGTTGTTGCATCAAACCATGAAAGTTTTGATGAAGAATGTGACGTCTCAATAGAAGAACTGGTTGGCAATATTTCTATTGTAGAGCTTTGGGCCATTGAGTTTACTGTTGTACGTCCTGTAGTTATATCTGGTGTCGACATTGTTGTTGTTGTAGGTAAGCTAGTCTCCTCATTTACTGAAGTAGATTGATCCATGGGAGAGGAAACTTTATTTGTTGGTGGCGCTGTCGTTGTTGACATTTGCGTTTGCTCATCAGCCAGTGTCGCTGATGTTGGGGTCACTTCAAAAGACGTTGTTGGCTTAGACTGGAAGGTCAATGATGTTGAAGAGGACAAGATATTTGTGGTTGATTGTGGAAGATTTGTCGTAAACAACTTTGTCCTGCTGACAGTCTGAGAAGGGTACTCAGATACTAACTTTTCTGTAGTTTTTGCAGACATATTGTTCTTTGTTGTTGCAAATTCTGTTGTAACAAAAGAACTGGCCGTTTCTTTTGACTGCTGTAATGTTGTTGATTCAAAGGAAGACTGGCTTGTTATTGGAGGAACAGTAATGGTAGACAACCAATCGGATGAATGTGTTGATGCTGTCATTGCTATCTTGGTTGTTGGTGAAGATTTAGGCATTTTGCTGCTTCCTTCAGATGCTGATGGAGGTTCTGATGGAGTATATGGAGCAGTTTTTCCTTCTGTGGAGGATTTTAGTGAAGGAGAAGAAGAGGTTATTGAAACTTTGGTGGCTGCGGATGTGGCATCACCTGATTCTGAACTTACGAAAGTGGTTTCTAAATTTGTTGTTGATTGCGAAAGCTGCTTCTGTGTGTTTGATACACTACTGGTATCTCCAGATGTTGAGGTTGTTGAGGATATTGATGATGATTGATGAGTTGTTTTCACTGTTGTGGCTGATAATGCTGAGCTATAGATTCTGGGGCTAATCGACAATGATGTAGATGTAGTTGATGTACTTGTTTGTTTTGAAGAAAATTGTGAGGATAGTTGGCTGGTTGTACTAGTGGCTGTTGCTCCTGCCTCAGAGGTGATTGTTGTTGACAGTTCTTCAGTTGTTTGTACAGGTGGCAATCCACTTGTCTTGACAGGTGCTGAACTTGGTTCCAAAGATGTAAGAGTTGACAATTGTGAAGAACTATATGGAGCTCTTGATGTTGGCTGAGGATTGTCTATGGTAGTTAACTCTTCAGATGTTGTATACTGCGTAGCTGAATTTGTTGTTCTACCTCCATAAGTGGATGGTCCTTTAGGTGTTGAGTTTAGGGTTGAAGTCACTAGTACTGTTGTCTCAGTTTGTGATGATGCTGAAGTCATTGCAATTTCACTGTAAGGAGTTTCCACAGGTGTGGTTATTGTGTTTGTTGTTGATGGAAAACTTGGCATCTCTCTGGTTGTGGTTTGAGTTGGAATCTCTTTTGCAGAAGTTGTTGATGGAGACGATTTTTGTGTCAGCAACGAGGATTGCATTGAAGAACTTTGTTGTTGGGTAGACATGGATGTTTCCAAGCCAGTGGAACCTTGGTCAGTAGGCGTTGTCACAAATGTACCTAATGTACTTGCTTTTGGGATATTTGAAGACCTTTCAGTTGTCACAGATGTGTTCAAATAAATTGTTGACAGTGTAGAAGATGTCTGTGCCAATGACGTATTGCTGGCTTGTACCACAGTTGAACTCATTTCTGATGAGCCTTTTGGCAGAGTGGTCATTTCCATGGTTGTTGTTGGTACAGGCAAAGTAGTGGAACTTGGTGACAAGGTTGATGATTCGGTGGTTGAAGATGATTTGACAGTTGGCTTTGAAGTCTTTTCTGTTGATATCTTAGTTGCTGCCTGTGTTGTTGAAATGGAAGTTTCTTCCATGGATGTAGATTCTGTGGAGGCCTCTGTAGTTCTCAATGGCACAGATGTGTGGCCTGAGGATGAAAAGTCTGTAGATACTGGCTCTGTCCTTGGTGCTGAAATTGCCGTGTGCATAGATGACCACTTTGCTAAGATTGGTTTTGAGACCATTATTCTGGAAGTTTTTGTTATTGCTTGCTGTGTAGTCCTTGGTTCAGAAGAAAGTGTAGAAAATCCAGTAGATGTTGAATGGGAGGTGGCTGGTTCAGTAAATGTTGTAGAAAATCCAGTAGAGGTTGGCTGGGAGGTGGCTGGTTCAGTAAATGTTGTAGAAAATCCAGTAGAGGCTGGCTGGGAGGCGCCTGGTTCAGTAAATGTTGTAGAAAATCCAGTAGATGTTGACTGTGCAGTCCTTGCATTGGAAGACATTGTAGAAAATCTTGTAGACATTGACTGTGTGGTTCTTGCATCTGTTGGTTCTGAGGTTCTAGCATCAGAAAACACTGTTGTTGTAGACATTCTAGATGATGGCTGAGTGGTGACTTCTTCAGAAGACTCTGCCTTTGATGAAGATTCTGTAGTCAATAGATGCATTAGTTCAGATGAAACTGTCCTAGATGATTGCTCTGTGTTTCTTGCATCAGTAGATACTCTTGTTGTAGACAATCCTGTAGACGCTAACTGAGTGGTTTTAGGCTCAGACATTCTTGTAGGTGATAAAGGTCTGGTCGTTGGCTCTAATGACTCTGTTGAAGAAAAAATTGTAGATGATTCCTTTGTTGTGATTGGTTCAGTAGATGCAGTTGTTGTTGACAGTCTTGTAGACGTTAACTGAGTGGTTTTGGGTTCAGACACTGTAAAAAATCCAATAGTTCGTAAAGGTGTGGTGACTGGCTCTAATAACCCTGTCGTATAAAAATCTGTGGATGATTCCTGTTTGGTGCTTGGTTCAGTAGAGGCTGTTGTTGTTGTAGACAATACTGTAGATGATTGTTGGGTGGTGGTTAGTTCGGACTGCATTGCTGTTGTTGAAAAAGTTGAAGGTGGTGCAAGTGTGGTTCTCGGTGCACTAGATGTTGTTGTAACATATCTTGCAGATGTTAACAATGTGGTGATTGGTTCAGGAGATGTCGAAGACAATCTTTTCGATGTTAGGAGTGTGGTGGTTGGTTCAGTTGAAACTGTTGTGGGACCTCTTGTAGATGTTGGCTTTGTGGTGGTTGGTGCAGTTGAAACTATTGTTGTGGTTGGTTCAGTGGAATCTATTGTGCTGGTTGGTTCAGTGGAAACTATTGTGGTGGTTGGTTCAGTTGAAACTATTGTTGTGGTTGGTTCAGTTGAAACTATTGTTGTGGTTGGTGCAGTTGAAACTATTGTGGTGGTTGGTTCAGTTGAAACTATTGTGCTGGTTGGTTGAGTTGAAACTATTGTGGTGGCTGGTTCAGTTAAATCTATTGTGCTGGTTGTTTCAGTTGAATCTATAGTGGAAACTTTTGTTGATGTTGACTCCCTGCTTGGTTCATCAGACGTTGTTGTGGAAAATCTTGAAGATGCTGGATTTGTGGACATTACTGTGGAAAATCTTGATGTTGAATGTGTGGTGCTTGGGGCAGTAGATAGTGTTGTAGAAAATCTTGGCTTTGTGCTTGGTTCAGTTGAAACTATTGTGGAAACTCTTGATGGTGTTGGTTTGGTGGTGGTTGGTTCAGTTGAAACTATTGTGGAAACTGTTGTAGATGTAGACTCTGCAGTGATTGGTTCAGTTGAAATTGCTGTAGAAAATCTTGAAGATGTTGGCAGAGTAGCTCTTGCTTCAGAAGACACTTCTGTAGATGTTGACTGTGTAGTGCCTGCTTCAGAGGACATTTCTGTAGATGTTGATTGTGTAGTCCCTACTTCAGAGGACACTTCTGTAGATGTTGGCAGTGTAGTGCTTGCTTCAGAAGACATTTCTGTAGATGTTGGCTGCGTAGTTCTTGCTTCAGAGGACATTTCTGTAGATGTAAGCAGTGTAGTGCTTGCTTCAGAAGACACTTCTGTAGATGTTGGTAGCGTAGTACCAGCTTCAGAAGACATTTCTGTAGATTTTGGTTGTGTAGTGCTTGCTTCATAAGACACTTCTGTAGATGTTGACTGTGTTGTGCCTGCTTCAGAAGACACTTCTGTAGATGTTGACTGTGTAGTGCCTGCTTCAGAAGACACTTCTGTAGATGTTGACTGTGTAGTGCCTGCTTCAGAAGACACTTCTGTAGATGGTAGCTGTGTAGTACTTGCTTTAGAAGACATTTCTGTAGATGTTGGCTGTGCAGTGCCTGCTTCAGAAGACACTTCTGTAGATGTTGACTGTGTAGTGCCTGCTTCAGAAGACACTTTTGTAGATGGTAGCTGTGTAGTACTTGCTTTAGAAGACATTTCTGTAGATGTTAGCTGTGTAGTGCCTGCGTCAGAGGACATTTCTGTAGATGTTGACTGTGTAGTGCCTGCTTCAGAAGACACTTCTGTAGATGTTGGCTGTGTAGTGCCTGCTTCAGAGGACACTTCTGTAGATGTTGACTGTGTAGTGCACAGTTTATTAGTTGTTGTTGGCTGTGTGGTAATTTGTTCAGAAGACATTGCAGTTGTAGGAAATCCTGTTGACGTTGGCTGTTTGGTGGTTTCTTCAGAAGACAAAGTTGTAGAAATTCTTGTAGATGTTGGTTGTGTGGTGGTTGGTTTAGAAGATGGTCCTGCTGCAGACAATGTTGTAGACTTTCTGGTGACTGGGTCTGATGTTACTGTGGTAGAAAATCCAGTGGTATCTGTTTTTGTGGTAGTTGGGTTTGTCCATGGTGCTGAATCTTGGATAGTGGTGGCTGACTTTGATGACACATTTTCAGAAAAGCTTGTAGATGTAAGCTGTGTAGTGATTGGTGCAGATGATGCCTCTGTTGTTGAAACCTGCGTAGATTCTTGCTGTGTGGTGTTTGATTCTGTTGACAATGTTGTAGAAAATCCAGTAGACGCTGCTTGTGTTGTGTCTGATTCAGAAGACATTGTTGTCATAAATGATTCTGTAGGTGCTTGTTGCATGGTGGTTTGTTCAGAATACACTGTTGCTGTATGGAATTTTGTAAGCACTATTTGTGTAGTAGTTGGCTTAGAAGACACTGGTGTTGTAGAAAATCCTGAAGATGTTGGCAGAGTTGTGATTGGTATTGACGTGACTGTTTCTGTTGTGGAAAATTGTGTAGACTCTTGCTGTGTTTGTTCTGACGACAATGTAGAAAACTTTGTAGTTGCTGGTTGTTTTGTGATTAATTTTGACATCTCTGTTGTAGTAAATTTTGTAGGTTTCGACTGTGTGGTGACTGTTTCTGACAGTGTTGTTTCAGAAAATTCTGTGGATGCTACATGGTTCGTGATTGGTTCTGGAGGTGCTGTAGTAAATCCTGTAGATGTTTGCTGTTTGCTTATTGGTCCTGAAGACACTGCAGTGGAATATTCTACAGATACTGGCTGACTGATGATTCGTTCTGATGTGGAAAATTTCATAGATGTTGACTTCATAGTGTTTGGTTCTGAAGAATCCATATTGGTCGACATTCTTGTCTGAGATGACAACTTATTTGTAGATGATTTTTCAGTTGTTGATTTAGTTGCCACAAGCGGTGTGGCTTGTGTAGTAGGTGAATTGGAAGGTATGGAAACCGACGGTGATATAGTTGTGGGAGGTGCTGTCAGAAAAAGAGGTAAATTGAAGAGTTCACTTGACACCAATTCAAAAGCATGAAATCGAGTATACTAAAGACAATGAAACATCTTTCAGTAAGATTAAAACATACCTTTAGTGGATGACATCACTTTTGATGGTAGGACTGATGGGAGAGAGGATGTGAGCAGTGTTTTCCGTTCAGATGATGTGGCTGTCACAGTTGAGTGAGTGACAGAAGGTGTTGACTTGGCATGGGATGACTGTTGTTGAGTCGTTGCTGATTGAAAAATCAATGGAGATGAAGTTACAGGCACTGTGGTAGAGGCTGTTGGGAGAGCTGGTGATGTAATTCTAACAGGAGCTGAGTTTGACATTGTAAGCTGTTGTGTAGGTTGCTTCTGTCTTGTTGATGTACTAATGGTGTCTCTATGTGTTGCAGCTGTCACTGAGATAGGTGATTGGTTAGTAGTACGTACTATTGTGTTTGGTGATGTCGAAAGGTAGGATCTAGATGTCAATGTCATAGAAGTGGCTGCGTTAGTTGTCAGTTTTGAGGAAAATTGTGATGTTGTTGACAATCTTTCAGTCGTTTGTGAAACTATTGATTGACTTGTTTTTACTCTTGCTGTACTTGGTGGTTCTAAAGATGTTAGTGGTAATAAAAAAGGCTCTGTTGATGAATGTTTGGCAGGTAATGGAGAAGTTTCTGGCAATGTTGTTGCAAAAGACACTAAATCAATGAATGTACTAGTTGGTGACACAGTTGTAGTTAATGTGTTGGGCTGTAATAATGTTGTAGAAACTCTCAAAGATATTGGCTTTGTTGTGCTTGGTTCAGTTGAAAATCCAGTAGATGTTGGTTCAGTTGACACTGTAGTAGCAAACCTTGAAGATGTTGGCTCTGTGGTGCTTGATTCAGTTGACATTGTTGTAGCAATGTTTGAAGGTGTTGGCTCTGTGGTGCTTGGTTCAGTTGACATTGTTGTAGCAATGTTTGAAGGTGTTGGCTCTGTGGTACTTGGTTCAGTTGACATTGTTGTAGCCATGTTTGAAGATGTTGGCTCTGTGGTGCTTGGTTCAGTTGACATTCCTGTAGCAATGTTTGAAGATGTTGGCTCTGAGGTGCTTGGTTCAGTTGACATTCCTGTAGCCATGTTTGAAGATGTTGGCTCTGTGGTGCTTGGTTCAGTTGACATTGTTGTAGCAAGGTTTGCAGAAGTTGGCTCTGTGGTGCTTGGTTCAGTTGACATTCCTGTAGCAATGTTTGAAGATGTTGGCTCTGTGGTGCTTGGTTCAGTTGACATTCCTGTAGCAATGTTTGAAGATGTTGGCTCTGTGGTGCTTGATTCAGTTGACATTCCTGTAGCAATGTTTGAAGATGTTGGCTCTGTGGTGCTTGGTTCAGTTGACATTCCTGTAGCCATGTTTGAAGATGTTGGCTCTGAGGTGCTTGGTTCAGTTGACATTGTTGTAGCAAAATTTGAAGGTGTTGGCTCTGTGGTACTTGGTTCAGTTGACATTGTGACAGGTGTAACATGTGTAGTTGATGTGACGGTTGTTCTCATTGTTTCTGGTTGCAGCAGTGTTGAAGGTTCTGGGCCCGGAGTTGTAGAGTAATGAATCAACTGTGTTGGTTCAAGTGTACCTAATGGGTTGGGAGTTTTGTTGGGTTGCAAATGAAGAGTTGACGTTTCTTGAAGAGTTGAATTTTGCTCAAATGGCATTGAAACAGATGAACTAAATGCACTGGAAGCTGTTGTGTTGGCTTGTGGGAGAACTGATTTTTCTACAGTTCTAGAATCTTGCTTATAAAGGGTTGATGCAAGCATACTCAATGTATTGAGGGTTGCATTGGGTTGGGAAAGTGGTGATGTTTCTTGAGAAGTTGAACCTTGTTGAAATTCATTGAAACAAATGAACCAAATGTGCTAGACATTGTTGAGTTGGGTGGTTGTGTGGTGATTGGTTCTGTCGTTATAGCTGTTCTTGTCTGAGTTGTTAATGTCGTAGTCGGTAACTGTCTAGTTGTACTGAAAGGTGTGGTTTGGGACATAGGTGATACTGATGTTGTCCTTGTTGTAGGTGACTTAAATGATGGTTGCTTGGATGTGGGTGTTAACAGTGTGGTGATTGGTTCTGCTGTTAAAGTAGTTGTTGGTAATTGTTGTGTTATCAGTCTAGTTGTACTGAAAGGTGTGGTTTGGGACATAGGTGAGCTGGAATGAGGAGGTGTTTTTGTGGAGTAGATGTGCTGGGAGTTGGGAAACCAACGATGTTATAGTTGTGGCAACTGCTGAAGAAGACAAAAAGTTCATACGATAATTTACAGTAACATGACATCAGGAAGGCTTCTTATTGATGGCCGTGCCTACTTGAGCAAACTTCTAATAGTGTGATATAAAGATGGGTTTCTTTTTACACAAGCAGTATAGACTCTCACCTGCTTAAATTTCAATGTCTATCAGACACCTTCCTTAGATCTTCTGACTGGAGTGCTAATTCTTGCCGACTAGACAATGTAATAGTCAATGTAAGCAGGTGAGAGTCTATACCAGTTGTGTATCAAAAATAAAAAACTAATAATACTTAACCACCCAGATGAAACTATTTTCAGTGATAGAGATTATTTTTATCTTTCACTAAGAAGAGACTCACTTTTTGCGGAGGTTAACACTTTTGTTGGATGATCTGATGGGAGGGATGACATGGGCAGTGTTTTCCGTTCAGATGACATGGCTGGTGGCAAAGTTGTCACATTCAAATGAGCAGCTGAAGGCATTGACTTGGCATGGGATGACTGTTGCAGAGTCGTTGCTGATTGAAAAATCAATGGAGATGAAGTTACAGGTATTGTGGTAGAGGCTGCTGACATAGCTGGTGATGTAGTCATAAAGGGAGCTGATTCTGAAAGTATTGTATACTGCTGTGTAGGCTGTTTCTGTCTTGTTGATACACTACTGGTGTCTCTATGTGTTGCAGTTGTTGCTGAAGATAGTAACTGGTCAGTAGTTTGCAGTGTTGTTTTAGCTGATGTCGAAAGGTAGGCTCTAGATGTTAGAGATGTTAAAGAAGTGGCTACATTAGTTGTTGGTTGTTTAGTTGTAGACTCCTGCTCAATAGGCATAGTAAAGTAGCTAGAGGTTGTTGTGTCAGCTTGCGAGAGCATCAATGTTTGTGAAGCTGGCAATGTCTGCTCAAAAGGTGTTGTCAGAACAGTGTTGGAGGTTGATGTTTCTTGTTGAAAGGGCATTGATGTGTGTGGACTTGAAGAACCTTGTTCGAAATCTGTTGTCATCACTGTAGTTAGTTTTCTGGATGCTGTTGTGTGGGTTTTTAGTCATCGTTGTTATAAAAGCTGTTGAATGGTGTTCAAAAAGGGGTTGACAAAGGTGAACTCAAAGGCATAGATGTTGCTGTACCTGGCTGTGGGCGCGTTGATGTCCCCAGAAATGTAGAATCAAGAGGCATCGTCACACGAGTACTTGATGGTTGGGATGTTGCTGTGTCTGCCTGTTGAAATGTTGATGTTGTGTGGTCCCGCTTGTCTGACGTTGTTGAAAGTGCAAACAATGAGGTAGACATTGTCGTCTCAATCTGTGGAAGCGTTGATGTTTCACCAGTTTCAGAAACATTTTCAAAAGGTGTCGTCTCAATGCTTGACAAAGTTGTGTCTGGTTGTAGAAACGTTGTTGTCGGAAAATGTGTCATTGTGCTGGCTGTTTCTGTTTCAGAATGTGTAGATTTTGTTTCTGAAACTGTAGAATGTCGATCAGAAGATGTTGTTTCAACTGCTGTTGTTTCAGATTTTGGGACCATAGTTGTTTCTGAAGCTGTTGATGTTTCCTCAAAACGAGTTGTCACCAGTGTGTCTAACGTACTGGGCACTGTTGCATAGGGTTGATGTGAGCTTGAATCAGATGTTTGTTCAGTTGAGGTATCTTGCTCCAAAGGCGTAGTCACAAGTGTAGTTAATGTGCTGGATGGTGTTGTATCAGACTGTGGAGGCGCTGAAGTCTCTTGAATTGCTTTAGTTGAACTTTGCTCAAACGGTGTCATGGTAGAACTAAGTCTGGTGGAAATTGTAGTGTCAGATTGTGGAACCGTTCTTGTATCTTGCTCAAAAAAAATTGTAAAGAAGGGAACTTATTGTGCTTGAGGTTGATGTGTTGGGCTTTGGAAATGTTGATACATCCGGACTTGTAGACACTTGCTCAAAAGATGTTGTCACGGGTAAAGTTACTGTGCTGAATGCTGTTGTTTCAGACTGTGCAGGCGTAGTTTCTAGAAGTGTAGAATCTTGCTGGAAAGACGTTGATGTAAGTGTACTTAGTGTGCCAGCTGTTGTGGCATCAGGCTGTTTAAATGTTGTTTCAACTGTTGTAGAAGAGTCTTGCTCCAAGGTTGTTGGGAAGGGCGTATGTGATGTGCTGGTCCAAGGCTGTGTAAATTCTGTAGCTACAACCGTAGAAGCTTCATTAGAAGGTGTTGTAACAACTGTAGAGAATGTGCTGGACATTGAGGTGTCAGTTTGTGGAAGCATTGTAGTTTCAAGTGTAGTTGAACTTTGATCCAAAGGCATTGTTACCAATGTCACTGTTGTGCCAGGTTGAGGAGAAACAGTTGAAGAAGCTTCCTCTGAAGGCATTGTCACAGATGTAGTTAATGTGCTGGACACTGTTGTGTCCAACTGTGGAAACACTGATGTCCTTTGTGTAGTTGAGCTTTCAAAAGGCGTTTCAACTGGGCTCAATGTTGTTGTGGTGTCAGTTTCTGGAGGCATTGTAGATTCAAGAGCTGTTTGACTTCGCTCCAAAGCTGTTGTCATAGCTGTTGTGTCAAATTGTGGAGAGACTGTTGTATGCAGAGCTGTAGAGCCTTGCTCTAGTGGCGTTGGCACAAGGGTAGTTAATATGTTAGATGTAGTTGAGCCTGGCTGTGACAACAGTGATGCTTTTTTGGTAGTAGAACTTTGCTCAAAAGGTGTAGTTATGAGGGAACTACCTATGGCTGACATTGTTGTGTCAACTTGTTGGAACAGAGATGTTTCTGAAGCTGTTGATGTTTGCTCTGAAGACAACTCCAAAAGGTGTTGTCACTAATGTATGTAATGTGGGGGACATTGCTGTATCCGATTGTGTACTTGATATTTGCAGCCTCGTTGCATCTTGTTGTGAAGTTGTGGAGTCTTTTTGCTCCACAGAAGTAGCCTCAAGTTTAGTTGTGATGGACAGCGTTGATGTGTCTGGTTGTGGAAGTGTTGATTTCTTTGAAACTGTTGATCTTTGCTGGAAAGATGTTGTCAGAAGTGTGCGCGGTGCTGTTGTGGTTGGTTCTGGGATCATGGTTGTATCAAATGCTGTTGAATCTTGCTCAAAAGCAGTCGTGACAATTGAGCCCAGCGTGCTCACAGTTGTTGTATCTTGTGGGGGTACTGATGTTTCTACAGTTGTAGAGTCCTGCTCAAAATCTGTAGACGCGAAAGTACTTGATGTGTTGGGAGTTGTATTAAGTTGAGGAGGCACTGAAGTTTTAAAAGTCGTTGTTTGAAGCGTACTTAATGCATAAGACGTTGTTGCATCTGTTTCTGGGAGTGATGAATGCTCTTCAGTTGAAGAATCTTGCTCAAAAGTTGTTGTCAAAAGGGAACTTAATGTTTCAGATATTGTTGCATCTTGGTCCAGTGTATGCAATTTGTTAGATGTTACTTCCTCCGGATGAGGAAGTGTTGAATGGTCTAGAGTTGTAGAACCTTGTTGGGAAGTTGTTGTCACGAGGGTACGTAACCTATTAGACGTTGCCATGTCAGGTTGTAGCAAGGTAGATTTTTTAACAGTTGTAGAACCAACTTTACCTAATGTGTTGGAATTTAAATTTGTTGTTTCAGGCTGTGGGGACATTGTTGTTTTGACAGTAACTGTTGCAGAGTCTTGTTCAAAAAGTGTTGTAGCAAGCATACTTGACATGTTGGGAGTTGTATCAGTTTCAGGAATTGTGGATTTTGACACAGTTGTAGAGCCTTGCTCAGAAGGCGCTACAGAAAGCATAGTTAATGTCCTAGCTGTTGTAGAATCAGATTGCAGAACTGTTGATGCATCTACCGTTGTTGAACATTGCTCAGAGGTCATTGCAGGAAGCATAGATAATTTCCTAGCTGTTGGTAAGTCAGATTGCAGCACTGTTGATGCTTCTACAGTTGTTGAAAATTGCTCAGAAGTTGTTGCAGGAAGCGTAGGTAATGTCCTAGCTGTTGAGGCGGGTTGCAGAAGTGTTGATGCTTCTAATTCTACAGTTGAAAATTGCTCAGAAGTTGTTGCAGGAAGCGTAGTTAATGTCCTAGCTGTTGTAGAATCAAGTTGCAGAAGTGTAGACCTTTCCACAGTTGTAGTACCTTGCTCTGAAGGCGTTGCAGAAAGAGTACTCAATGTCTTAGCTGTTGTAGAATCAAGTTGCAGAAGTGTAGACTTTTCTACAGTTGTAGAACCTTGCTCTAAAGGCATTGCATAAAGCGTAGATAATGTCCTAGCTGTTGTTGAGTCAGATGGCAGAAGTGTTGATGAAAATTGCTCAGAAGTCATTGCAGGAAGCGTAGTTAATGTCCTAGCTGTTGTGTCAGGTTGCAGAGTTGTTTCTACATCTGTTGATTTTTCTAGTCTTCCTGTTTGAAATGTGGAGATTGAGGAGGACGGTGATGCTGTTTTTGTTGTTGATGAATCTAGGGATGATTGCTCAGTTGAAATTATTGTGGGTGCGGTGGTTAGTTGGGCTGTTGTTGTTGTCCATGTCTCAGTCAATAATTTCGACGTCGGTAATTGTCGTGTTGTTCCTAAAGGTGTGGTTTGTGAAGAAGATGAGTCGGAAGGTAGAGTTGCTATTTGTGCAGTAGATGTGTTGGGAAGTAGTGGCATAGTTGTAAGAAGGGCTAAAACAATAAAAGGACATGTACCTGTAAATGCAGAAACACACTTTGTGCTAGCACATGTATTTCTAACACACTAAAAATAAGTACTTAATAAAATCCTTTGAGTGCAATGCAACAGATACAGACAAAATGGAAGTGAAGTACAGGACTGTACATTTGTAGGACACTTACCCTCTGTTGATGATTTTGTTGTTGTCAGCTCATCTGTGCTCCAATCAGATGATGGGGCTGATGGTAAACTTGTCATAGTTGATTGAGCAATTGGCATCTTTGTTTTGGCTTGGGAAGTCTGATGTTGAACTGTCATGGGTTGAAACGTACTGGAAGGCTCTGACTCAGCCAAAGATGACGGAATTCTAGTAGAGCTTGATCTTGATGGTGCATCAAAAGTTGATGACCCTGGTGGCAAGTCAGTAGATGTACTAGGAGTGGAATCTACCAAGACTGTTTTTCGTGATGCAGACGTCTTGACAGAAGATGGCATTGACGATGTCCACTGAAGAGAGACTGTTTGTGTCATAGAGTTCTGTGTTTGCCTTGTTGGGGTTGTGTGTTCTGGTGAAGATGATTCATGCACGCTAACTGGTGTAGTTGGTAATGGATTGGTTGATTCATTTTGTAGCCCTGTTGTCCATCGGGAAGAGGACAAATCTTGAGCCGGTTTTGTAGATAACCCATGAGAACTCTGTTCTTTAGGACTTGTAGACAGTGTTGGCTCTCTAGACACTGTTAAGTTTGCCATTGATGAGGTGGCTTCTTTTGCAAAAGCTGTAGACTGCAGAACAGATTCTGTTTGCATATTTGGCAATGAACTATCTGTAGTTGTCTCTGATGTCGTTGTTTGAATCCTAGAACTACTGTCAGGGGCTTTTGAGGTTGAATGGAAATATGAAGATGTTTCATGACCAGATGATGTACTGGGGCCAGAAGGGGTTAACGTTCTCAAAGTTGAGGATGATGCTGTAACAATACTTGATAGTGATGAAGTTTTTGTCGCTCTTGAAAGTTCTTCTGTTGTTCTATTGGCAGATGATATGGTCTGTGTACTTTGAGTTCTCTGAGTTGTTTCTTTTCGAGCTGCTGTTGAGGGAAATGTCTGAGTTGTATCAAACACAGTTGTAGGTGTAGATGGGATTTCTGATGCGGATGAAGATTTCTGGATGGGACCTGTCAGTAGGGTTGATTCTTCAATTTCTCTTACTTTGGTTGTCAACTGTGATGCATCAGTTGAGGAAGTTAGTGGAACTGTAGTCTCCATGGATGCCCTAGTTAGCTTTGTGGAATACACTGTGGTCAATGTAGCAGATTTTGCTGCAGATGAGGATGCAACTATCTGTGATGTACTTGAAGGCAAAGGCAATGTCGTTTGAGACAAAGTGGATACTAATTGTGATGTAGAAGACAGATGGGTGGTGGGACTTGGGGCAAGTGTAGATGGAGGTGTCTTAGACACTGAGGACATTGGCGTTGTTTTCACATTTGATATTGTTGACCCTGTGCTCTCTTGCTGTATTCTAGACCTTGTCCCGAGGGTTGATCTAGTTGTCATTGATACCCAATCTTGCTTTGTTCCTTTTGATAAATGTTCAGACACAGTCATTTTCCCTGCATCTGAAACTGTTGCTGTCACAGTTGTTGCAGTTGGTGTACCCTCTACAGATGTAACACTGGAAGCTTCTTCAGTCCCTGTCTGTGTTGTCTTCTGCTGTACACTAGATGAAGTTGAGACTTTCATTGTTGAAGTTGAAGCTGAAGTCATTTTGCCTAATGTTCCATCTGTTTTTGGGGTAGCTGTTTCCTCTGTCATTTCTTTTAGTGATGTTGCCTCTGCTGTAGGTCCCTACAGAGAAATAGATATCAAATTTGTTTCATACATCTTACGAATGTATGAAGTGCTCATTTTTTTAACATGGTGTTGTAGATAAGTTGTGGTTTGCTATAAGAAGTCAAACCCCACAAAGCTATATGTAATATGTATATCTTAGAAATATCATATTGCTATATAGTATACTGTAGGAACTACTTCATCATAATTGTATCTATGTTACATGTACTTGAAAGTTGCAATAAACTTACAACTGTTATTATCATAATTATATTGCCGATAATCTGTGCCTACCAGTTGTGTGCTGTGAGATGAGAGGTTTTCCGTAGTTTTGTCTGGAGTAGTGTAAGGCTCTGTCTGTTGCATAGTGTATTGAGATACAGTTGGGTCTGAAGCAGTGTCAAGGACATGTCGTTGCGTGCTACTTTCAAACGTCATTGTCTTTGCTGTACTGTCCACAACAGTTTCCTGTAAATCAGTTGAAGATACTGTTGGGGTTAGAGCAGTGTAAGTCATTGTTCTTTGCTCAGTCATTGTCTGCTGCTTAGTCATTGTTTGTTGCTCTGTCATTGACAGTTGCTTAGTCATTGTCTGTTGCTCAGTCATTGTCAGTTGCTCAGTCATTGTCTGTTGCTCAGTCATTGTCAGTTGCTCAGTCATTGTCTGTTGCTCAGTACTCTGAAATGCAGTTGCTGTTGCATGTGAAGAAGTGCTATGAGCTGCTACAGTTGTAAAAGTGGTCCCACCATCAAAATCGTTTGAGTCTGGTGTTGTGCTATGGTCTGTTTGTCTTGTTGGAGCTTTAGATACACTTGTCAAGAAGTCTTCAGTGGAGTCATAAATTGTGCGTTGCAGGCTACTTTGAGCTGTAGTCAAGTCAACAAGTGTTCGTAGAAAACTGCTTTGAGCTGTGCTAGTCTGTAGAGCAGTAGTCTTAGGAAAAGTGGTGTGTGTTGAAACACTAAAAACAGTATGTTCTGAGACGGTCTGGTGTCCCATAATGTCTGTTGTAAAGTCATCTGGTGCTGTCTGCTGCACGACTTTGCTTGTAGATATTTGTGGAGAATGATTAGCAACTGTTTGTTGCAAGCTGTTTTGAACTGAAGATGGACCTTCTATGGCAGCAAGAGTTGTTTGAAGAGTAGAAGGCTGTGTGACCATGTATGGAGAAGATTCATCTACCATCGTGACAGAAGTCAGAGGTGCAGTTGCATCTACTGAGCTGTAAGGAACTGTTTCTATCAAGGTGTTTGGAGAAAAAAGTTGGTAAGGAGTAGTGTCAAGAACTGTGGTGTTAGAAGCAGTGTACATGTATGAAGACGTGTTATAAAGAAGTTTTTCTTGCGTGGTTGGTCGAAACACAGTTGCATCTACGGTACTATTATGAGCTATTTCTTGTGAGTTGGTTTGGAATAGAGTCATTTTTTTAGTTGTTTCAAGAGTTGTATCTACTGTGGTGCCATGACCTTTTTGTTGAGCGTCACTTTTGTGAACTGTTGAATCTGACATTGCGCTGTCAAGCGTTGTATGCTGTATAGTAGATTGAGATGCAGATTTAAATTCTACAGTGGGCAAGTCATTTGTACTTCTGTTAAATCTTTCCTGGGATGTGGCAGCAATTGTGTCATATGGGTCTGTTGTCAGGTCAGTTGTATAGCCTACAGTAGGGTTTAAAGTAGCCAAGTTACCAGTTGTTTTCTTAGATGTAGACATTTCACTGAAACTGTGACTTACTGTAGTAGTGGTCTGGAGACCTGCCTCTTCTGTGGTGGGTTGTATGACAATCAGGTCAGTTGCAGCAGGGTCTACTTTGGGAAATTCACTGGTAATCTCTTTATAAGTAGTTCTTTCCTTGGAGGTTACTGCACTGGACGGGTGGGTATCTACCTCTCCTGTGGTAGACTGCACGGAAGATAGAACAGTAACTATTGTTGAGTCTACAGTTGAGGGTACTGTTGGTAAATCACTGGTAATTTGGTTTAAGGTCGATCTTTTACTGACAGAGTTGGTTATTGCATTGGTCAGGACATCTAAGTCTGATCTTGTAGGGTTTGCCATAGTCGGGTCAGTCGTAGTGTCAGTGTCCACAGTAGTTCTGTAATCAGTCAGTGTAGTCCTGTATGTTGCTGCGTTTGTGTGGCCACCTAACCCTTTTGTACTTTGTTGTGAGGGAGTCAGGTCATCAGTTGAATAGTCGGCAGTTAGTAGGTCTATAGTAGGCGAGTAGGTGCTTGTACTAGGGATTTCACTGGCAGTGTCAGTTACTGCATTGGTTTGGGTACCAGAGTCTTCAGTGGTTGGTAGTACAAAAGTCAAGTCAGTTGTTAAGTCTATGGCAGGGTCAACAGTAATGTCATGACTTGTCCCCCGTGCAACAGTTTTGTGCACTGTTGTATCTGAACTTCTGTCCACGGTCATTTGCTGTGTGGCGGTTTGAGATGTAGATGAAGCAGTTGTTTGTTGCAACATTATTTTAGATAAAGTCTTGTATGGAGTGCTGTCAGTATGTTGAGTCTTGTGAATGGTAGATGAATCTGTTCTGTCAAGAGTCGTTTGCTGTATAATGGTACTTTGAGATGTAGTTGGATCAGTAGTTGTTTGTTGCAAAGTTATTTGAGATGAAGTCAGGAATGGAGTACCGTCAGAATATGTTAGTGGTGTAGTTTGTTGTGTTTTGTGAACTGTAGATGAATCTGTAGTTCTGTCAAGAGTCGTTTGCTGTGTAATGGTACTTTGAGATGAAGTTGAATCAGTAGAAGTTTGTTGCAACGTCATTTGTGATGAAGTCAGGTATGGAGTACTGTCAGGATATGTTTGTTGAGTCTTATGAATGGTAGATGAAGCTGAATTTCTGTCAAGAGTTGTTTCTTGTATGGTACTTTGAGATGTAGTTGAATCAGTCATTTGTTGCAAAGTCGCTTGAGATACATGTAAATTAAGGTATGGAGTACTAGTACTGTCAGAAAATGTTTGCTGTGTAGTTCGTTCAGTTTTGTGAACTGTAGATGAATCTGAAGTTCTGTCAAGAGTGATTTGCTGTGTAATGGTACTTTGAGGTGTAGTTGAATCAGTAGTTGTTTGTTGCAAAGTTGCTTGAGATGAAGTCAGGTATGGAGTACCATCAGGATATGTTAATGGTGAAGTTTGTTGCATTTTATGAAGGGTAGATGAATCTGAAGTTCTGTCAAGAGTCATTTGCTGTGTAATGGTACTTTGAGATGTAGTTGAATCAGTAGTTGTCTGTTGCAAAGTTGCTTGAGAAAAACTAAGGTATGGAGTACTAGCACTATCAGAAAATGTTTGCGGAGTAGTTTGTTCAGTCTTGTGAACTGTAGATGAATCTGAAGTTCTGTCAACAGTCATTGTTGTGCTGAAACCTGTTTCTTGTTGTGTAGTTTGAGAAAATGTGTTGTCTGAAGTAAAGTCAGTTTGTACTGGATCCGTCATATCAAGAGACTCTGTCAGTGTTCTGTCTAATAAATTCTGTGAAGTCATTGATGTAAATGTAGTAGACATTGGTTGTTCAGCTGTGTGGATTGTGTCTGTATCTGTACTCATGCCGTTATATGTGGAGTGACTAAATGAAGCAGTACTTGCCTGTGATGAAGACGCTTCTGTGCTGAATTTTACAGTGGATGACGTTAAGTCTACGTTGCTACTTCTGTCACTGTAAGCTGTTGATGAGGTGGGAGTGGTAAAGGAAAATGCTGATTGTCGGTAAGCTTCAGTCATTGTTGGGGTGGTTCTAGTTGTTCGTTGTCTTGAGGTTAATGTTGGAAAATCAGATGATACAATTGTTGTATGTCTCAGTCTAGTGGTATCAGGTAAATCTGTGGTTTTCTGTCTTCTTGTAGATTCTATTTCAAAAGCTGATGATGTGGGATATGTGGACATTCTAGCTACTGTTGTCAGTAATGGTTGAGAAGTCATTGGCTCAGTTGCATCAGTGGGGGCAGTAGTTGACTCTACCAGGTTTTGAAAGTGGGAGCTTGCAAATTCGCTCTTTTGTTCATAGCTGTCAGTTGTAATGGTGTTTCCATGCATTGCTGTAGTCGCGTCTTCATACCCAAGAGTTGACAACACATTTGGAGAATTACTGTTGATACTAGCTGTAGTGTATTTGAAATTTTTATCTGTAGCTTTGCTCATTGTATTTGTATGGAATGTATCATATGTTGTATCTTCCGGTTGAAGCCTGGTTGTCATCCTTCCTTCATTGGTTGTCGGGAGGTTACTGGTTGAATGAGCTGAGCCTTCTTCAGTTGTATCCTCTCTAGTATGGCTGTTTAAATCTGTCATTGGTGAAGTTAGCGAAGGCTGTTTTGTGGTATCCGAGACTGTCAGGTTGTGCTTCTCAGAAGTGTAAATGACATCTGCTCTTCCATCAGTGGTTACTCCGATTACCACTTGTGAGCCTTCGGAAGATGTCTCCACGGCATAGTTTGTAGTCATCTGCTGAGTAGTTGCAGCATCTGAAAAGGTGTTTGTTGAAGCATCTGATCTGCTGGATGCTGTATAATCTGAGCTAGAGCTGGTTTCCTTCCTAGAATCAGTTACAGTGGTTGTCTTGTGGTGGTTAACTGTTTTCCGATTCTGAGTTGATGTTACTGGGCTTGCTTCTTTTGTGGCAGGCATCTTACTTGTTTTTAGTGGGAGTCTTTCACTGGAGTCAGCCGCTGTGATTGAGAAATCTGGCTCCTCAGTAGTAGGTTCAAAAATGATGAACATGTCAGTTGTAAGGTATACAAAATGGTTTGAAGTATCCAAGTTTCGAGTTGTTTCAAGTGTAGATCTTTCACTGGGGCTTACTGTCACTGTGGTAGTCTGGACATCTGAGTCTTCTGTGGTAGGTTCAATGACAAACAAATTGGTTGTAGACTCTACGGCAGGGTCCTCTTTGGGCAATTCACTGGTAATTTCTTTATGTGCAGTTCTTTCACTGGAAGTGTGACTTATTGCACTGGATGGCTGGGTATCTACTTCTGTGGTTGTCTGTATGGAAGAAATAACAGAAAGTGTAGCTGTTGTAGGTTCTACAGTTGGTAAGTCACTGGTAATTTTGTCCAACGTCAGTATTTCACTGGCAGTGTCAGTTATTGCATTGGTTTGTTGTTCTTCTGTAGTAGGGAGTATCATAAAAATGTCTGTTGTAGTGTCTCTAGCAGGGTCTACTCTAGAATCAGTAACTGTGTCAACTACAGTTTCTTCAGTGGTAGTGTATGTTATTGGACTAGTTTGGTCACCACTTTCCTCTGTCGTTGGCTCAAGTGTAACAGTCAGATCTGTTGGCCAGTCAACAGTTGGGTCTATGGTAGGCAAGTAGGTAAATGTCAATCCTTCACCGGAAGTATCAGCTAGAGTGTCTGTCGGGAGACCTGATTTTTCTGTACTCGAGAGTGTTATATGTATGTCTGTATGTTCTTTTGTCTGGTCTGTATACAAATCAGTAGTAGGGTCCACTGTAGGGTCCATAGTAGGCATGTAGTCAGTACTTTGACTGGTCTTGACATCTAGTTCTTCTGTCGTTGGTAGTACTAGAGTCAATTTGGTCACAGAATACAGAGTAGCTTCAGTTGCAGGGAGGTCACTGGTAACTGTTTTAGTTGTAGCTTTTTCACTGGATGTGTAAGCTGAAGTTATTGCACTTGTCTGGGCCTCTGGTCTCTCTGTAGTTGAAGTAATCAGGTCACTTGTGGTAGAGTCTGTGTTGACACCTGTCTTTGGCACGATTTCTGTGGTAACATAAGTTTTAGTCCTTTTGGCACTTACGGATAAAGATCCTTGTGAATGTTGAAGTGTAACTGTAGGAGACACAGTTCTTTCACTGCGGTCGGTTGCCTCTGGGCTCTCTGAATTCCTTTCTCCATCAGTAGTGGATTCTGTGACAGCAGGTTGGGTGGAGAGTAGAGGGAAGACAGGCGTATTTGCTGATGTAGTGGTTTCAGAGGTGCTCACTGGTGGTGTTTCACTGTTGATATCTGTCACTGGTAGAAATTGCTCGGGCTCGGTAGACAATGGCTGAACAAATGGATCAAAATATGTAGAGGATAAGTAAGGAGTTGTTGTGGAGGTAGAATAGTCTCTGTCTTCTGTTGCAGTAGTAGTAATTTGAGCAGGGCTAGTTGAAGATTGCTCAGTTGAAGATTGCTCAGAGGAAGTTAGTTGCAAACCCGTCACTGTCAAAAGATGATTGTGAGGCAAAGTACTCCCCAGTATAAGTTCAGATGTTAGTTCATTGTATGATGTTGTTTGTCTGTGGCTCATGTCAGTCGTTAAAGAATGAGTTGTGAGAACTGGTTGTGATGTACCTAAATGTAGAGTTGTACTTGGTAGTGTGACATCAACAGCACCAGTATCAGTATTTTTGTCAGTTTGTTCACTAGATGTCAGTTCATTGTATGATGTTGTCTGTTGGTTAATGTCAGTAGTTAAAGAATGAGTTGTGAGAACTGGTCGTGATGTACCTACATGTAGAGCTGTAATTGGTAGTGAAACATCAATAGTATTTTTGTCAGTTTGTTCAGTAGGCTGATCTGTGCTTATGGGTGTGGTGTCAAATGTGGAAGAGAGTTCGTCATGTGTCACTGTGATTGTGTGTCCAGTTGTGTCAGTCTGGTAGTCACTTGTAGATATTTCGTCTTTGTCAAAACTTGTTGATGTTTGTCTCAACATATTTTGCAAGCTGGTGGAAATTGTTGGCTCCTTGGTAGATAGAGAAGTAGACTGCAGGTAGCTTGTAGTTGTTGCCTCAGTTGTTGGAATTACAAAAGCACCAAAGGTCGTCAAAAGATTATCTGTTTTATCAGCGGTAGTGTCTTCTAGTCTAGGGACTATGGTTAAATGATCAGATGTTGTTTCTACTGGATGGTCAGTCGTTGTGTCAATTTGGGTGGAGAAGAGAGTATCAAAGTCATTTGTGGCTCCCTCAGTTGTGTCAGAAGTGGAAAATGTTGCAGAAGTGGATTCTTTCATTGCAGAGTAAGATGCTTCAATGGCTGAATTAGTGGTCGTGTCTTCTGGTGTAGGGACTAAGGTTATAACATTATGATCAGATGTTGTTTCTACAGGATGGTCAGTTGTTGTGTCCTCCTTGACAGAGGTGATGGTACTTAAGTCCTGTGTGGTTCCCTCAGTCATGTCAATGGTGCTATCAGTAGTGGAATCAGGAGTGGCAAGGCTGGAATATGTGGATTCTTTTGTCACAGTGTCGGATGTTGTAATTGGTGGATTGGTGGTAGAGTCTTCTAGTGTAGGGACTAAGGTTATATGATCAGATGTTGAGCCATCTAATACATCGTGTGTTGTTTTGAACAAAAGGTTAGTTGTGTCACCTTGGGTGGGGATGACAGTATCAAAGTCATGTGTTGTTCGCTCAGTTGTGTACATGGAGTGATCAGTAGTGGACTCATCAGGAGTGGCAAGGCTGGAAAGTGTGGAAAATGTGGAAAATGTGGATTCCTCTGCCACAGTGTTGGGTGTTCTAATAGGTGTATGTGTGGGAGTTTCTTCTAGTGTAGGGACTAAGGTGATATGATTAGATGTTGAGCCATCCAATAGACCAGATGTCATTTCTGCTGCATGGTCAGCTGTTGTGTCATCTTGGGTAGAGATGGTGGTAATAGAGGCAACTGTGGATTCCTCAAATGTGTCAGGAGTGGTAACTGCTGCGTAAGTGGATTCTTTTATGGTAGAGTAAAATGTTTCCATGGCTGGGTTAGTGGTTGTATCTTCTAGTGTAGGGACTAGAGTTACATGATCCAATGTTGAGTTATCTAATAGGCTGTATGTTGTTTCTTTGGATTGGACAGTTGTTGCGTCATCTTGGGTAGAGATGACGGTATCAAAGTCATTTGTTGTTCCCTGAGTTAATGTATCAAAAATGGCAGCAGTAGTAAATGTTGTAAGAAGTGGATTCTTTCATCGTAGAGTATGATGTTTCAATGGGTGAATTATTGGTCGTATCTTCTAGTGTTGGGACAAGAGTAATATGATCAAATGTTGAGCCATCCGACAGACCATGAGTTGTTTCTACCAATTGTTCAGTTGTTGTGTCGTCTTGGGTGGGGTTGATGGTATTCAAGTCTTGTGTAGTTTTCTCAATACTATTAGCAGCAGTATATTCTGTTGTTGGGAAGATGGCTGGATACGTGGTAGTGTCTTCTAGTGTTGGGACTAATTTTATACGTTCAGCAGATGTTGATCCATCAAATAGGCCATATGTTGTTTTTACTGCATGGTCTGTTGTTGTGTCGTCTTGGGTGGAGAAGAGAGTATCAAAGTCATTTGTGGTTTCCTCAGTTGTGTCAAAAGTGGAAAATGTTGCAGAAGTGGATTCTTTCATTGCAGAGTAAGATGTTTCAATGTCTGAATTAGTGGTCATGTCTTCTGGTGTAGGGACTAAGGTTACAACATCATGATCAGATGTTGTTTCTACAGGATGGCCAGTTGTGTCATCTTGGGTAGAGATGACAGTTTTAAAGTCATCAGTCGTGTCAGTGGTATGATTTGTAGTGGAGTCACCAGGAGTAAGAAGGCTGGAAAGTGTAGTGGTGACTTCTTTTGTCACAGAGGTGGATGTTTTAATGAGTGGACTAATGGTAGTGTCTTGAGTGGGGACCAAGGTTATTTGACCAGATGTTGAACTCATTTGTCCATCAGTTGCAGTAGTGGTCTGAGCAGTGTATGTTGCAGCTTGCTCAGCAGTTATTTGTGAACCTGTCACTGTCAAAAGAGGATTGTGATGCAAAGTTCTGTCCAGTGTTAGTTCAGATGTTAGTTCATTGTCTGATGTTGTCTGTTGGTAAATCATGTCAGTAGCTAAAGAATGAGTAGTGAGAACTGGTCGTGATGTACCTACATGTAGAGTTGTACTTGGTAGTGTGACATCAACAGTATTTTTGTCAGTTTGTTCAGTAGGCTGATCTGTGCTTTTAGGTGTGGTGTCAAATGTGGAAGAGAGTTCGTCATGTGTAAGTTTTGATTGTGTCACCATGGTTGCTTGTCCAGTTGTGTCAGTCTGGTAGTCACTTGTAGATCTTCTGTCTTTGTCAGAACTTGTTGATGTATGTCTTAATGTATTCTGTAAGCCTATGGAATCTGTTGGCTCCTTGGTAGATAGAGAAGTAGACTGTGGGTAGCTTGTAGCTGTTGCGTCAGATGTTGGAGTTATTATTATAGCACCAAAGGTTGTCAAAGTTTTCAGAATAGCTAAGCTTGCAGTTTGGAGACTCACGTCTGTTGGAGTGATGGTTGTTGGAGAAGTTGGGTCTGTTCTTGATATCTCACTCAAGGATATCGGAGATGTGAACGGTATGGTTGTAGCATCTGCTTTGGAGTGCCTTGGTGTGGTTAGTACATCAGTGCTGACTTCTGGAGCAAGTTTAGTTGCAGTTGGCTGAGTAGAGTGATGTCTACTACTAGGAAAAGTTGTGAAAGTCACTTGGCTGCTTTTCTCTTCTGCATCAGAGGTCTCTAAAATGGACGGAGTAGTACTAATTGCATTTTGAGAATCTGTCACTGATCGGGACGGAACAAATGTGTTATCAGTAAAGGGTGATACTGGGGTGATGTGAGAGGCACGGGAAGATGTTGTTTCTCCTTCTACAGTAGAACTACGTTGGTTAGTGCTGGTTCTTTCTGTCGTGAAGGGGTGAGAAGTTGTCGGCTCTTCTGTGGTTGGAATCACAATGTCAATTTGGCCATCGGTTCCAGTTGGGTAGAAATTTGGTTCAATGGTGGTGTCTTTTAGAATAGGAACAAGGGTAAATGGTTCAAATGTGGAGACTATGTTGCTTGAAATAGTCGTTTGATCAACAGTGGTGTCTTCTGGAGTTGAAATAGAAGAAATTGCTGCAGAGCTGGATTCTTTTATCGTAGAGTCAAACGCTTGAATGGCTGAATTAGTGGTCGTGTCTTCTAGTGTAGGGACTAAGGTTATGTGATCTGCTGTTGAGCCATCCAATAGACCATATGTTGTTTCTATGGACTGGTCAGTTGTTGTTTCATCTTGGGTGGGGATGATGATATTATAGTCATTTGTGGTTCCCCCAGTCGTGTCAACAGTTGAGTCGTAAGATGTGGGAAAACCGGAAAGTGTGGATTCTCTTGTCGTAATGCTGGGTGTTTTGATGGGTGGATCATTTGTAGTGTCTTCTAATGTGGGGACCAAGGTTACTTGATCAAATGTTGTAGATGCTGACATCATTTCTCCATCAGTTATAGTTTCGGTGATGAGAGGTTGGGTGGAGAGAAGAGGGAAGACATGTGTGTTTTCTGAAGTAGTGGTTACTGGAGTTAGGCTTGCAGTGCTCACTGTAGGTGTTTCACTGTTGATATCTGTCAATGGTAGAATCTGTTCAGTAGACAGTGGCTGTACAAATGGATCAAAATATGTGGATGATAAGTAAGGAGTTGTAGAGGTCAGATCGTTTCTATCTTTGGTTGAAGCAGGGTTAGCTGAAGATGTTTGCTCTAGATCTGTGTCATGCCTTTCAGTTGCAGCAAGCTGAGAAGTCATCTCTTCAGTGGTTGGAACCACACTGGTAATTTGGCCATCTATTGTTTTAGTTGGGTCTGTTTCACTGGTAGTATCTTCCAGTGTAGGCAGTAGGGTAAAAAGTGGCTTAAGTGTGGAACCTATGTCAGTTGTGTCAATGGCATGATCAACTGTTACAGCGGTGTCTACGGGAGTTGAGAGAATGGTAAATACTGCAGATGTGGATTCTTCTGTTGTAGAGTAAGATGTTTCAATGGCTAGATTAGGACTAGTGTCTTCTAGTGTAGGGACTAAGGTTATATGATCAGATGTAGAACCATCCAATAGACCAGTTGTCAATTCTACAGATTGGTTGGCTGTTGTGTCATCTTGAGTGGGGTTGACAGTATAAAAGCCTTGTGTAGTTCTTTCAACTGCACCGGTATATTCTGTTGTTGGAAAGATGGCTGGATAAGTGGTAGAGTCTTCCAAAGTGGGGATCACAGTTATTTGATCCGGTGTTGACATCATTTCTCCATTAGTTGTGGATTCTGTGATTGCAGGTTGTATGGAATGCAGTGGTGTGTTTGTTGAAGTAGTAGTTTCAAGAGTTATGCCTATGGTGCTCACCAACGTCGTTTCACTGTTGATGTCTGTTTCCGGTAGAAACTGCTCGGGTTCAGTAGACAGTGGCTGAATGAAAGGATCAAAATAAGTGGAGGTCAAATATTCTCTGTCTTCTGTGGCAGTGCTGAGCTGAGCAGGGCCAGTTGAAGCAAACTGAGAAGTTATCACTTCTGTAGTTGGAACCACACTGTTGATTTGGCCATCTGTGGTTTCGGTTGGGGAGCGACTTGCTTCAATGGTAGTATCTTCTTGTGTAGGAAGTAGGGTAGGAACTGGTTTAAAAGTGGATCCTAGTGTAGGGACCAAGCTTGTATCTTCTGTTGTGGGGGATACTGTAGATAATTTCACTGTGGTGTCAATTTCACCAGGTTTGTATGAAAGTGGCACAGTTGGCTCAGAGGAGAAGGGGTATTCAGCATCCTCAGATTGACCAGTGGAAGTGCTCTGAACATGGGAACGTGCAGATGCCATGTTAGTTCTTGTGTTTGCAGTCTTGTCAGAGATTGCAACAGTGGTTGAAGACTGAGAAGTAACAACCATTGATGAGGACAAGGACAAAGAATCATCCAAGTCCTCCTGTGTTTTTGGCACCTTCACGTTCACCGCGGTGAACTCTGCTTTTGGCACTTCACTCGTTGTTTCCAAACCGCTGCTCTTTTCAAAAACTTGTGCAGATTCCTTCCACTCCTGAGTTGTGAAATCAGCACCCTTTCTCGACACTATAGCACCAAGGCCGGAGTCAATTTTGTTGGGCGGGTTAGTTGGACGGATTGATACATGCGGTAATGTTCTGTCAGTTGTGTTCGTCAAGATCAGCCCCGTTGCTGTAGTAGTGGGGATGTCTGTGGGCAGTCGCTGTAGGTCAAAACACACAGAGGAGAAGAATTGAACATCACTGGTGGGAGTGAGAACGCCTGTTCTGAGGAAGGATTCAAGAGCACCCGCCTTATTCCCTGAGGTTGATAACAGTAAAATTCCCGGATGAGAAAGTGTAGTAAGTTTTTTTTTTGCCCGAAACAGTGTTCCACACCACCAGGGGATTCCTTGATTAGATTGCAGGGGCACCAAGATCGACGAAGTCTTTTGAATAGTCTTGCACCAAGTTCCATTGACAGAGGGTACGGGTCTGGGTTGACAGGTTTGGTATAACCAGTAGCAACCGTGTGGTGTGAGTTTTGAAAGACTAGTGAATATCTGGTTTGTGTGATAGATTCTGTCAATATCAAAAGGTTATCATCTAAACAAGGACAGTTCACCGGTGTACTTCTTTACTATTGAACAGTGTTGTTGTGTTTGTTTATGTCTTGTTTTGTGAAGGAGAATATGTGGATACAGATGCAATATGTTGAAATACAATGTATGTAGAGATGTGTGTCTTTGTGTTTGTTAGTCATAACAAAATCAAAAACAACAAAATCGAGAGTTAGAACTAGAGAGAGTTAGTAATATGGACATACATGTAGCTGTATATATGTGATGTGTGAATAAAGTTGTTTTGAGGTCTTGTTGGAGTGTGAAGACGGCACCAAATCCACCAAAAGCAAATGCTTGACTGTTGAGATGAAATGCATGAAGGCACCGGGGTTATCATATTGACATTGTTACCCATGCAGAAAAGTGGTAAAGAGTGGTAAAAGGGTTCCCTGCATTTAGCTTTTGATATGTCATACCTTTAAGCCAAATGTTCTTGGCAAAGATAAAGAATGGAGACAATGAAAAGCAACAATGCTTCTAGCAATGTCATACTGTAGTCAAAGTACACTATACTGAGTTACAAGGGGATCAGTGTCCTGAGCAAAGTACAATTTTATACATGTTGTTTGCTGTATCATTTATAAGCTTTTATGATAAGACAATGTTTGTGATCTACAAAAGGCTGTATTCATTATTGTTTAATTTGTTCACTGAAAATTCCTGAAAGTAAACAGATAATTTGAAGCATTTACCAGGCTTCAGAGGAAGCTGGAAAGAGTAGAAATTGGCCAAATAGATAACATGCCAGGATAGTTAGTCTGCTAATGGAGTAGCATTTGTTAATTTGAAGCCTGGTAGAGAATGGTTAATTTGGCTTGTTTGGCTTTCATAATTTATGTGCAAACTCAGCTTACACTTGAAGTTTCTCATTACCTTTGTTGATTTGGATCTTGTACTTGACACAATCTTCCTAACAGTTCTCTCAGTTGATGGTGCATATGACAATAACAGCTCATTCTGTCCTTTTGTCCTTCCTCTGCCCCGGTGTCTGTCCGTGGTGCTGATTTGGCTATACAGTCCCCCCTGCTAAAATAAAGGACAGTGTACATGTATGTTGTCTGTGTAACGCAAACTCTGCCGTCCACAGCTTTAGTGGCCCCTCTGGATGCAACCGTAAAGCGATCAGGCTAACATGTATGTACCTGTATTAAAATCAAAGCCTTAGAAGATAAGGCTAGGGAGTAATAAGAACCAGAAAAGCTGGAACAACAGACAAAGGCATACCGAATACGGTGTCCATAATTCAGATGACGTGGTCGTACTTCTGCCTGTATTAGTTGGTTTCTCTTCCTTAGATCCTTTGGAGCCATTACCTGGGGAATATTTGAATAAACATAAAAATATACGAGGTACGAAAAGTCATCAAATCATAATCTTTGCAGAATTGAAATTGCTTAAATGAAGTGTCAGAAGCATTCATGGAAAAGGGCACAATCTTAAATTGCCATATCTAAGGTCAAATTTGACATTTCAACATGTATATTTACCTTCCCTAGAAGCCAGATTGCTGTTACAGTATTGCATGCACTCATGCTTGCTGAAACCTCATAAGTAATACTGTATGCCACTAAAGTAAAAGGTCAACAAACGAGCAAAGAGATTCAGTATACTGTGTATTAGCTGTAGGTTTACTGACTTCGATGAAACAACTTTGACTTGTCTGTCTTCAATAAGTATTGGAATGTAAGTGTAAAAGTACAAACTTTGTATTGACCAACAAAGTACCAGTCTAAGATGACTGTGAATTGCTTGTACTTGAAAATCTGCTTTGTCTTTGAAACACATGTATTATACAGTACTGGTGGAAACAGCACTGGTTCTCAGGCCCTGGGACATTGTCAAACGCCTCCTCGTTCTGTACTCACCATCAGCCCTGCTGCTCACGTCCCGGAAGCAAATTGCCACCAGAATCGTCATCCACAATACACCTGGCTTCACCATACGGCCGGATGTTCTATGGCCTTCTGTCGTACTTGTTACCTTCCTACATGAACAATTCTAAAAGACAACACAACATTTCATGAGAAACACACCATGGCCTTTCTTTCTGTATCTGTATCTGTATAGCCAGCATAACCGCCCTTCGGCGTAACACACCAGCTTCGCAGGCATGCGGGGCAGCAGCAGCTAGCTATATCACACCGAACGACTAAATGTTACACACATATCTTTGTACATTTAATTGCAAGAGTTGCCCAACTGTACTTGGTGGCAACAAGTTCCACAAGTGCGCACCTCTCAAATGCCAAGAAAGCTGGATAGAAACCACTTGTTTGCAACAACTCGCTGAAATAATTATGTATAGATATAGATCTACTGATGATGATTCAATTACATAACCAATGAACAGTAGTAGACTAGAATATAGGGAGACAACGGATGGCACTGTAAATTGCAAGAATAACTCTTAGAAGTACTTAATTGTATTTTGCTCTTAGGGACACAAGACTTTAATATTCATTGTTACTAGTAATGAGTAGTATTCTATCAATACACAATGAGTCCCATGTATAGAATAAAACAGACAATGCTGAATACACAATGGAGACAACTGTTTCATGTTGGCAGTTATGAAAAAGGCCTTTGATTCTTTTGACAGAATCACTTAGCACTTGGGGTCAGTGGCCAGTGACCTCAGGAGGGCAAGACCTACATTGAGGGACACAGCCGACAAAAGAAAACCTTGACTGGGCAAATTAATACAGTAACAAGTTCTTTCATGTAATATCACCTGCAATGTAATAGCAGTATAGACTTTCATTTTTGTAGCTTTCTGCCGTATATTTTAAGGATGATTGTATTTAGTGAAAAGTACAGTTGTAACACCTACATGACATTGTACGGAAGCAAACTGATTTGACTTGAATGAGTAACTATAATAAGATGTAATTTAAAAGATATTCTGACAAGTTTTGAGGGTAAACTATAAATTATGAAACACAATCCAAAATACTTAGTGGTCAAGACATAGATAATAGTATTCTGTTTTTTCATGACGTTTTCCTGTCAAAGCAAGTAGATTCCAGCCTTTGAAATGTTACAAAATTTATGATCTTGAAAGGTAAATGTTGCCTTGAGAGAGATAAGTGCCTGGAGCCGTTGTCACTCTTGTTATGGCTGAACAAAGGAAACCTCAGACATGTGCAAGTAGTGGAAAACCTAGACTTAATCACTGCAATTATGTCAGGCCTACACTCAAAACTAATGCTTCAAAAGCTGTTGAAAAGTTCTCAAGTTAGTGGTGAAATTCTATTACAGTGCACATATACAAACTGTACATTGTTTGCCATGGCAAGAGTCATATAGCATTATCTGAGAAAAATGTATATTAGTCTGAAAATTTTGAGTGGAGATCAATGTTGACATTTCCGAAAAGTCATTTACCACACGGGTCAGGTGGTTTAATAGAAGACATTGTTGTACCTTAACTCAACTCTCATCAAATGTGCATGCGAAAAAGACTAAACAGTTGTCACTTAGTTGCCAATTCATTATCACTGGTAGTGTAGAGGAGATCATTTTCTTGAAATGGTTGCTGAATATGGCACTTGTATGTTAACCTTCGATTAGAGTATTAAGGGTGCAATGCTGCAAATAATGAAAAATAGAGAAGCAAACCACTGAAGTAGAAAATAGGCCATATTTCACCGTAATTGTCTGGAATTCTAGGTGCTATTTATCTAGACTATCTAGTACATATCTGACAAATTGATGGTTCAGGATTCTTACAACTATAATTGCACATTGTGTTCATGTATTGCAGATTTAACATTGAAAGATTCCAAACATTGGCAAAGGGCATTAGCAATGGGGAATACTGTTAAACAAAAAAGAGAACGATTTGCCCAATTTGCCCGAAATTGTTTAATCGATTTAATTACTCATGAAAAGTACTGCGTCAGTTGTCACGCAAGCAATCATGGACTGCCCTCTTTAACCAGTAGTGTTTTTCGTATCTTTTTTTAGATGGCTGAACTGTAAAATGGTTCTTTATTTTTCATTCATACTCATATAGGAATAGAAAAATGAGATAAACATAATGCGAGATTTGAGAGTGGTCTGTAAGCGACGGCGAGTGTTTGATCTCTTGACCTTTGTCTCCATGTTGCAATGCCCCCCAGTGTGAAACGTCCTTCAAATACATGTACAACACCCTTTTGACGTACTGCCCATTTTCTCCAGGCACGTGCTTAGAAGACAGCTCTCTTTACACTACTAAAGCTTCAAAGTGTGACAAAAAACTAGATTGGGACAGAGCCAGATCCTATATCTACTTGTAGATTTGAGCCATGATTCTTTACCTTGTTAAATTGACTGTTAATAAAACCTGTATCAACTTTAAAGTTCAGTTGTCACACCAGAAGTGTGAGGAAGAATCTCGTGTCTTCTGATGGGTGGGACGCCGCGTGAACGAGAATAAACTCTGACCCTTTTGGCCTGTTTCCGCACCGCCTTGGGGCTGAGAATGGCTCTGTCGACTTTTTTGTCTCTGGAAAGTTCACATTGATTGATTTGTGGTTGCATCTTGACCCTTCTATTTTAACGTGGTCGTTCCTCACATAGTATTTCGGAAATATTAAGGAGTACTTGCTGTGTGATTGGACACAGATCAGGAAAAATAAAAAAGATCAGGCCGAATGCTGGAAATGCAAAAATTTGGCAAAGCTTGACACAAGATTTACTTTTTGTGCAATCATGCAGTTTACTGAGAACATTCAAGCAAGGAACAACAATGTGCCTCTGGAACCAACACAGCATTTTACTTCAGTTATAAAATTCTGACAACAATTATATAATTATATTATCTTCCCCACTTACAAATGCAGGACAATTTGCAGTAAATAAAACTGCACCTTGACCCAAAGGTTTTATTAACTTTAGAGTTGAGTGAAACATTGACAGGAACAAAAGTGTTACAACAACATAAAACCAAGCACTTAATAACACAACAGAGTAATGGGGGCAATTATAGACAAATTTGTGCACCATGAGTAGGGGTCGGCATTACTTTAGTTGTGTAACAGTGGGGGGTTTATAGGTGCTACCAACTGACCCGGCTGAGGAATTAGGATTTGGCGCTCTCACCGCCAAGGCCCGGGTTCGATTCCCGGCGTGGGAAGCACTGTAAGAAACAGAGGCGAGCAGTAGAAACAGAAAGAAACCCCTGGTCCCAGGCCTGGTATTAAAAACGAACCCACGACCAAACCCGGGCACCAGTCCACATGCCGACGCTCTAAGCCTAACGATTCGGCTAATATATAAGGTCTCGACCCCTTGGCCGGGTCACTTGGTAGCACCTATAAACCCCCCAATGTTACACTTGTTGTGCCTTAGGTTTACGACGGGAGACATTCGTGTATGAATAGTACAAAATTCTACTGTACAACTCGGGATCGAACCTGGGTCAAATGCTCTACCACTACGCCACCCAACGCCACGGGACACCTCAACTTTGACTGTTGCCTCAGCTCAGGATCAAGCAGGTGTTCTCTTGGTCACCTTAACCTTCAGCCTGCTACTGTCTTTGTCACCAAATTTGTATTGGTTATGGGGCAAGGCAGCAGGGGAGAAGGTTAAAAGCACACACTCACATGCCAACTCTCGTGTGACATCTAACAAAGAACAATGTGTCTGATCATTTCGGCTTCTCAAAGCGGGGATGAGACAATTTTTTACATGGTTGCACAGAGAAAATGCACCTTTCTCCTAAACATATGACCTATAAGTCCAAACTATGCTAAGAGGATTTTGTATAGTACCACCTGCTGCTAGCTCTGACAAAAAATTACTGTTTCAGGCGGAAGTAAGGATTGATGGAGAGGATTAAAATTAAAGGATCGCAGGGATTGAATCTGAATGGTATTTCCTTTTGTAGTTACTGGCTTGAATATCAGCATTGTTCGCATAGTTCAAAGCCCAACTACATGAGGTATGTAGGTGCTACTCTCCAAGCAGAGGTTGTGGGGGAATGATCGTTAGCTTTTTATATATGGCCGTTTTTTTTTTTCGCTAATCCCACCAATCGGTGGCCAGCGACCTTCTCTGGCTAATGGATACTGCCTGGCCAATTTGATACTGTCTTTTTCCACCGAAAGGGATCTGCTTGGAGATCATGTGGGTGCAGGCCGTAGTAATAATGGGTGATTCACAGAAAGAAAAACTCTCTCCTTACAACCCGGATTAAGATTTTATCTCATGAGTCTCTTAGTTGTAGGTCACATCAAAAGATGACACATATTACCTGTACTTATAATTCCAAAGTGGCTGTTATAACTTGGAGTTGTTAAATTTTTAGTTTATATCACATTATTTGATACAATGCCTTTTGTCAAACGACTTTCAGTGAGGCCATGAAAGAAATGACCGTCGATGTGAATCTACGATGATTCTTTTTCCCCACAAGAGAGCTGAAATTTGTACAACCATGGAACTTGGTACTTAGTCTACAATGTACTTCATGTACAAAACAGTTACAGTCCCAACAATGCTCTGACTTAATTTTTATCCTTCTAATTTGACCTTACTTACATCAAAACAATTTTTTAGGGTTTAAGCCAATACAGCTTCTTATGTTTTACCTTAATTTTTTTTACAAATTGAGCGAGTCTTAATATCGATAAAATGAATGTCATACAAGTTCCACATGAATGGCTATACATCTAAGCATGAATAACTTCCCGTGGCCCTGCCTCACTGGGTTAAGTTAAAGACGCTATCATTGATGAAAGCAGTGCATTCAAATCATTTGGTTCATTTGGCTGTAAGAAACATGACCTTTTGTCAAGGATTTTATGAGTTCAGAGAACTTCAGATCTTGCTTATTCTGGTGGCCATGTACTTGCCACACAACTGGTTGCGGGGATGATGCAACATCTTGACTTGTGTGTAACTTTTTCAAGTTTTTGAGAAAACCTTAAATTAGTTAAAAGCAGTTGTTTCATTCAGCAAGTGCCTTATTTGGTTGACCTACAGTGAATATATGGCCTTTTGATCATAATGTGACCTTTGAGTCCAGCTTTTTCTAAGATTTAAAAGCAATTAGTGCTAATTATCGTCTCTTGCCCCCATTCTAGATTTTTTCTGAATCATTTTAGTAGTAGATAAAATAGGAGCAATGTAATGTAAAAGGTATTTCCTATATTCCTTATTAGGAAAGTTAACACCCAAATTTATCCAGTACTGGTGGTTTAAAGGTCAATGTTGATACATTATATATCAACACCTGAAGGTAACATACATGGAAAATGTACTTCTACAAAATATAAAAAAAGTACAATAACTATAAAATGTGATAGAAAATAAATCAGGGCAGCATGCAACTGGATAAATTCTCTGAAGAGTTGGCCGTTTCAGATCTGCTATCTTTCATCGGTGACTAAGCATCCGCTATGTTACTTTATGGAAGTCAGTGATAGAAGATAGTGGATGCTATTGTTTGAAATGTCTGCATCCTCAGAGCATTCATCAACTTGTAATGTCCTACCTGGGTGTCTAACCTACATGTACACCAGAGTACTAAAAGCAGGAAAACCGCATGAATGAAATGACTTCCTTAAACTACTGCACAAGTAGAAGGAAAGGCTGTGTAACTTAATCAATGTAGTCTAGTCTAACTCAACTAAAACTGAGACAAACAGGAAATTCAAGGTAAATACTTCACAATATTCATACTTCATGTACGTACCAACTAATAAGTTTTTCCAATCTTGTAATCTATAGTCCAACTTGGTCAATGCGAGTCAAACATTTAAGTTGTCAGATTATAAACAAACTCTTCCATGTGACAACAAACTTAAGCAAAGAATTATCTGCCCTTGCCCTTAAAGTAATGGGGCAAACAAAAACATGGTAGAAAACTAGAGCAAGAGGCAAGGTCAGTATATGTTAAATATAAAGGAAAAAACTGTCACACAGTTAACAGCAAATATGTTTTCCCCCCATGTTTTTTTCCCCACAGTATTACGACCTATCGTGCAACAGACCCACCCATAATTATCTTTCCTGTGATGTTCATTCATTCAGTAATTTCTGTGTCTTGTAAAAGTTTTCGTACTTGAATATTTCTCAGAATACTCCAGAGAAGTTCTTACCTGGTCTCAGTCGTGTGTCTAGGGTGGCTTCTCCGACATTTCTGGTCGATCTCCGGGAAAATGTGAGAAAAACGGTGGACAGCGCCCCAAAATGTCGCCGGGCGATTCTTGACTTTTCAAGATCTGGGCTCACTGGACAGAACCGGTTCTTCAACTGGATTGCCTCCAGGCGACTCAGTCCATGAACTTTGACTCCTCCCCATCATGCCCTCTTGGCCAATCCTTTGTTCTGCCTCGCTGAATGACGTAAAAGAGGCGGAGCCTTGGACTGAACACCTGCTGGA